TCCTTGGGCACAGAGATGAGGAGAACTTCTGTGCCACTGTTCCAAAGGATGGGAGGTCGTATTCTCCAACCCTGTTCTGTCAGACGGTTCGAGTCCTGAAGAAGATTAACAAACCTGGCGATATGATTGTTGCTTTCAGCCACCTAGCAGATAAAATAAAGGTTTGGCTCGTTGATCAGCACTTTTTAGGTGTAACACCACAACAATAACAACACTCCTCATTGCCTGTCACAGTGTCCGTTACCAGGTTTTATTACATTAATGTGTGGTCAGTTTGAACAGGACTGATTTTACTGAAGGAGCTGAGACAGAGAAAGCAGTTCAGTCTGGGTTATTATTACAGACTTATAAAAACTATGGACATTGCAGATTCATACTGGATTAAAATCACAGATCTCACTGGTAATCACACAAATTACAGTACCTCTAGAACTAATCCAGCTCACGTAGGGCTTTAGAGTGCTCGTTTTCTCTCTTTTATGTATCTTTTTGTTATACAGTCTCTGGCAGACCGGCATCAGCAGGAAGAAGAGACATACTCAGATGCTCCTGATGAGTTTTTGGATCCCATCATGTCAACCTTGATGCTTGATCCTGTGCTGCTTCCTTCTTCAAATGTCACAGTCGACCGTTCAACAATAGCTCGCCACCTGCTTAGGTATTCTGTTTACATTGTATGTGACATGACCGCTTGCATACAGTACCGTGCAAGAGTTGGAGATCATCAGTTTCCAGTCAAAATGGGCGTTAAGTACAAATTATTCATTTTTCAGGAAATATTTCTGAAGAGATCAGATATAAGATTATTGACTTGCATAAGGAAGGAGAAAGGAAAAAGACAATAATTTCCAAAATTCCAAAAAATTAAAAGATCTAGAGAAATTGGGACTTCTAACAACCATTCAAGGCCTGGTAGACCACCAAAATTCTCACCTTCAGATCAATACTACTTAAAGCTTTCAGTTTTGAGAGATCAAGCTCCACTCCTGCTTCACATCTGGAAAAAAAGCAGGAGTTTCTGTCTATACTTCCAATGTGAGAAGAGAACACAGTGGGTCAGAAGGGATGTATAGCTGTCAAGAAGCTGTTACTGAGAAAAAGCAATAGGCAAAAAAGGAAGAAAATTAGCAAATAAAACAAACGTCCCGACGTTCTCAGAACAATGGACTGTCCACCATTACTGAATGTGTTTGGGATTACTTGCATCATGAGAAGCAGAAAATGTACCCAACTTCTAAGACTGACCTTTGGAGGTGTGGAAAAATATCCCTGCAAATTTCTTAGAAAAACTAAACACAAGCCTCCCAAAACAATAGGTAGACACACTAAAAATGGAAAAAATATATGGAGTTGTTAAAGCTTTTTCTGTAGTTTTCTGTTAAATATATGTTTTCTGTTCATTCCTTACATAAAAAAAGGAATGACTTGTACTTAATGGCTGTTTTGACTGGAAATTAAATAAATGAAGGTGGGTCTTTGCACATTAATGTACAAATGCAGTTATTATCTCAGTCTGATATCATTGTTGATCTTTTCTTCCTGCAGTGATCAGACAGACCCTTTCAACCGCAGTCCACTTACCATGGACCAGATCAGACCCAACGAGGAACTCAAGCAACAGATCATGCAGTGGCTGGCTGAGCATAAGCAAAGGGGTATGCAGATGGGACCCAGTGGCTAGTCCACTTGCGCTACCAACACCCCAACCCTCAGGCATGATTCAGCAGAGCTTTATGTACTGTTTCCCTTTCATACAGTTCTACGCCACAAAGAGAGAACATTCAACCACTAGTGGAGGAACACAGGTCTTCTAACATGGTCTAGTATTTTTACTTAAGGTTAAATGCAAATGGCATACATCTGTAGCATTTAGACATTCTTCTCTCCATCTGCTCAAAAGCCTGGTCATCATCAATGACGTTAAAGGCTATCTGGACAGCCAGCTTTTATACTGCTGTGTTAAACACTTCATATTACTTTTATTTTGCAAATTGCCTTGTCAAGATTTTTTCCCTGCAGAAATTTATTTTGATTTATGTGTAGAGACAATATGCAGATCTTTGCAAATAAATGTATTACGTTGTGATATAGATTTGTCCTCTACCTCTAATCAAATCAGTTTGAACAAATTAATTTACGCATTTTTATTCCATTAGATAAGTGTGTCTTGAGTTAGCTACTGTTATATGAAAATAAGTTGTGGAAACAGTATTGCCATACTCAAAATTAAAGTTAACCCATCTTTGATGTAAGAAGGACAGAACACTCATAAATCAGTCAGTGCCTATCCATCAGCCTTGTTTATTATTTACTACAACAACTGACTATTTGTTTTGACAGTAGTGTTTGTGAAATCTAAAATACATTTTGTGTAGTGCACCTCTGCTCGCACTAGTTTTTCTACATGTGTGCGTAATTAAGTCATTAAGATATAAACAGAGTAATTCAGAGTGATTTGATGTGAAATGCTCCATTTAATAGAAACTTACCAGGTAAAAACTGTTCACAGGTGGTGGTGATAGGAACTGAAGAGTTTAATGCCTCTGAAAGCTCCCATACATTAGTTATAAAAATGGTTATGAATACACTGCCTGATGCCTGATACAATGTTTTACAATAGTTTTGAGAAGGTTTTGGCCTAAAACACATTTTTGTAGTACATTTAAGGTGGAATGGAATATGCAGGGTGTTGTCAAGCAAAATGGTACCCAACGATTTTTTTTGATTTAACACTGTTCTACCTTTATAAACATCACATATAAAACATCATGTAGGTTCACTGGTCATTTTAGATTGTAAATAAAGTTGTTATATTTGCACTGTTAGACATTGCTACTCCTGGTTACTATCACTATCACATTACTGTAAAACAATTCTGAATCTGTAAGTTTCGGTACACCACTTCACATCAAAAACTCTGAATGACCTTTGTTCTCATTATGCAGTAATTTTGAAACATCGGTGAAATTAACCTGTAGTTCTTGAATTCAGATATTTTGCAGATATAATTAAATTTATTAAGAGCCATGATATAATAAAAGTTACATTCAGGAACTTGCAGCACTTTTTGTTCTCTTCCTGGACCATTATTAGCGATAGTGCATATTCTTACCTTTTGTTTATTGAAATTTAGATTGAAATTAAAATTTTATTTTTGTGTTATTTGGAATCGGGAAGTACATTAACTGAGTCTGTTACATGGTAATGACATTGTAATAAGTTTTGGAAACAGGCTCTTTTTATTTTGCTGGAGTTCATTGTGTCTGTAGTCTTTGTCCCTCAGAGTTACTTCTTGGAATTGTCGACATTGGATGAGTCAGAGAAGGCATTTCCAGTTACTGTAGCTCATCATATGCTGTATGACATCAGTGTCCATTTGCTTGTGATACTGAGAAGCTGCAGATGTCCTGGATGTGCTGTCTTGTCCTCTAAAGGGAGAACTTTAAAGGTGAACTATGCATCCTCCTTTTGCATGGATGTTGCCATCAAGACAGCTGCTGATTGGAGTATGGATGCATTTGGGTTTTAATTTTTTTTTCCCCCCACATATGCATAGTGTACTTCAGCTTCAGTTCATTGACTTCACCTGTCATCAAGGAGTTTCACAGCTTGTTCGGTCACAATCTTGCCTTGGTGATAAAATGTATAAATAAAAATGCACAGCTTTTTAAAATGGTTTGAAATTTGCCATTTATTTTAAACTTGCCTTAATAGAGTGATGGTTGTTCAAACGTGTTCATGTCAGATGGTATTAATTTGTTTATTTTACTGTAATACTGTTGAAATTGTCTAGATGATTCCCCCTTGGAATTACAATCTTATTAGGAATACAGTTGTGGTGTTGCAAGTTCTCTTGTTTGCTAACATTATTAAATAGGATAGAGTGAAAATAGATTGATATGTGAATTGCAGTAGCATAACTAGGATCTTATAGACCCCAGTGCAAAAATGAATGTCAGTTAATAAAAATAACCATGTAATTTGCATCTTACTTGCTATTAAATGATGATTTTAAAATGATAAATAATGAATACATGTTAAAGGATGTGATCTATTTGAAAACAGGTATCATGGGTGAGCTGCATCCTGAATAACGCAGAGAGAAAGTCATCAGGGCTCTTGGGGTAGTGTTGATGGAAGTTGACTGTTGAGGTATGTTAAGAAATCGGATCTGTCTGTGAGTCACAAGTGTGTCAGTATCTATATGGACTTTAAAGGGCCCAGTAACCCCGGGCCTTCCTTTGGTACGGCCCCAGCAGTTACACCACTGATGTCTCGTAATTAAAATGTAACTGCTAAACAAATAACAGTAATAGGCTGATTACTACTATAGCACTGAAAGTTTGACTCTCCATAAGGGGTCATATCTAAAAGACTGAATCCTTACTATGTGACCACTTAGTTTAATGGTGATTTTATGACTACAAAACGTACTCTGTTTATATACAGTACATACTGTTAGGAAATGGTGGACTTCTAGTAAACTCGGCTGAATTGACTGATGCACCTGCAATCCTGAGAACTTTGTTTCATATAATAGGCAGCTAAGAAGTAAAATAAGTAGAGGTGAACTTTCTTTAAACGTCCGTCATTTTTGGCTTGATTTTTCATATTTTATTTGCTTCTGTTAAAAGTTAAGGTTGCACTACTAGGGAAAAAAAAGTCCGTTAAGTAGCCTAGTTTGAATGATGTTCTACTGCTTTTGAAGCAACTCACCTTCTTCGGTTTTATGAGTACATTTGTCGTGGTATTGGAGGCGGTTTTTTGGTCTGTTTAATGTGTTCTTTTTAAAGTCTGGTTTTCTCCTGGGTATCAGCAGTGAACCTGCGTACAGACATAATTATTCTGCTGCTGAGATGTTGTAAAATGCGAAGTAGGGGTCCATGTTACCGCCGCCCCGAAACATGGATATGCAATGCTCGCCGCTTGACGAGAGTGGCAGCTCACTGAAATCGCTGGTTTGGGGCTACGCCCACCGAGCTCCCTGATCCTAGGGCAGGCAGGCAGAGTGTAAAATGGCGCACAGCTGTCGGTGGCGGTTCCCTGCTCGGCCCGGAGGGAGCAGCAGCTCGGGCGCGGGGAGGAAAGCGGGCCGGATCAGGGTCACCGCTTCCCTCCGAAACGGCTCGGGGACTCATCCGACCGCGAGCGGGCTCGGCCCGGGTTTCGACGCCGCGCTGCAAGTGTCCGCTACGATCGGCAGTAACCTGCAGAAATTTCGGGATGTTTTGGGGGAGTCGAGCGGCTCCAGCAGCGGAGAGGTGAGATACGCGGGACCCGTCCGCCCGCTGCTAGCCGTTCAGTGCACTAGCTTCAGCCTGAAGGAGCGAGAAAGCGGGGGGAGAGAAGTGGGAGCACTCGCCGCTGAGAGTTACCCTGGTTCCTCGCTGCGCACTGGAGCCCTTGAACAGTTATTTTGCTCCTCCGCGCAGACACACATGCCTCCATCCATGTGCTGTTTTCTCCTCTCAGACTTAAGCCAGCTAGCGATTAGCAAGCTAAAGCAACTTACTAAGAGCTTGTAGAGCTTGTGAACAGTGACAGCCTGAAGAGATAGTGGGCAGAATTACTTCATTTGTACGTTTTCGTGCATACTGATTGCCCAGTTGCTAGTAACGCTGTCTTGTTTTGGTTAGGAAGCTGCACTAACTGCGAAGGCTGTGGCCCTCATGAGTAGCTACAGCCCCCGTGTTTTGACAGAACATAGTTTAGATCTTGATGATGGCTCTTTGCTAACTAACGATAGCTGACTGAGGTTCACCCAACACTGCCACTTAGCCATGGTCTGCTAACTTCATACCAAAAACGTTAGGTGCTTTTTTTATACGAATTTGCGACTGAAATGCAAAACACAGCTCTCAGACGTTAGCCAGCCGTAGCTAATGGTAAACTTTGGGCTACAGAAGGAAAACGTAACTAGCTAGCAAGTGAACAAGAGGAGCGCAGAAAGAAAAAAAACACTAAAGCTAGCTAATAAGAGTCTTTTCCGGGACTCATCTCGTTAGCCAACTAGGTTAGCAACATTTGAAAAGCCTCAAAAGAGGAAAAGCGTATAACGGCTCAGTCTTTGGAGCCCGCCGTAATTTAAAAATGACGAGTTTAAATGAGTGTCTAGCCAGGTTTGCTAACTTAAAGTTAGCTGGCCAGTAGTGTGAATTCGGTTTTATAAACTGAAGGCACTGCAGGTCAGCTCAAAACAGACAAGCTAGGGAGTCCTAAACACAGTACTGGGCAGTAAACCTCAGGACTGTGCTGACCAGACATGGCAGCTAGATTAGCGGGCATTTAAGAGACGTTAAGCAGCGTTGCTGATTAAAGAAAAGCATTTTTCTGAATGAGGGAGTCCTGCAGATGTTCCTGAGAGCCTCTAAAGCTGACCCCTGAGACCTGACCAGCGTCCATACCCATATAGCTAACTAATGTACTTCTGAAATAAATAGCGCGTTTATCTTCGTTTCAGCTGCGACGCGTGGTAGATGGTGAATTAGAGACTTTTGTGCATGTTGGTTATGTTAGATAACATTATTTATCTCTCTAAAGTATTCTGGGGCGATGTATTCAGGTAGTTATTAGCTCGCTATCAGCCAGCGGCCCTTCACGTATCTCGGTAATGCTAGGCAGGTTAGCCACAACAGCGCAGCTGCCATTATTTTTCCTGTGAGTTTCTCGGCTAGCTGGCTGGGACCGATTAGTATCCGTTTTATATGTATTTGCAACAGTCCGTGCGACTTAAACCCAGTCTGAGACACACGTGTATACACGCTTTGGTTATTTATATTTCATATCATAAAGACCCCAGCCCCCTTCACGCTTTAATGCTGGCTAACGTTTGCTAGCGTGTTAGCTATTGCTGCTGATGATGCACAGGAAAATGGGAGGTGGACATGTTTTTTTTTTTAGCACGTATTGCGTAGTACCGAGATGAAATCGGAAAAACTGCGAATATCGGAAAATGTATTTACCAAATTAAAAACAGGGACTGTGCTGAGATACGGTGCCTATATGAGTGATTATCGCTGTAACGATCGCACTTGTGCGACCAGCTAAAGGGCTACAATAACAACGCGCCTTTTGACGGAGGAGGTTGTGTGTGTGTGTGTGTGTGTGTGTGTGTGAGAGAGAGAGAGAGAGAGTGTGTGTGTGTACGGGGGTGTGTACTGCTACGAACCAGCTACCATCTTCCTTTTTCGTGATGAGCACGCTTACGAGGCGAGGGGTGGGAGTTTCGCACCATGGTGCTGTGGATCAAACTGGCAAGCAGAAACGTGATGCTATCAAAAGGCACAGGCACGTTTTGTACTTTCTCTTTGTAGATTTTTTTTTAAATAATGTTTGAATTATATTTAGACCCACTGATAGCTTTAATCCGTCAATCTGATTGCACTTTCTTCTATCCCTATCTGTCTATCTATCTATCTATATATATTTACACATACACTTTTTATATATATATATATATATATATATATATATATATATATATACATACACTTACATACATACACACACACACACACACATATATATATATATATATATATATATATATATATATATATATATATATATATATATATATAAGCACATTATTATTAGGAAGCTGGCCATTAGCTTATTCTGTTTTTCTGCCTTCTTGCACTTTCATCACTGGGACAAGGAGGAGGATCTGGCCCAGCATGCCTTGCATCCCCATCTGTTCCAGTCAGACTTTGAAAGTGTGTATGAGTAAAATAAGAACACTATGTAAAATGCATAAGTGCTATACAAGGCAGACAGACGGGCAAAATCCCAGTGGAACTTGCGGCTCATGGATGTTGCGGACACAGCATTGTGATTTCATTCAGAGGGGATGTTGCGCCTGGCCAGGATTGTTCTGGCTCATCACAGCCTGCTGAGCTCACAGAGCAGCCCGAGGCCAGCGTACACTCAGTAAAGAGAAAGACATGGAGCCCCTCCTTCGTACTAAACCCAAATCCTGCTGCTTGGGTCTCAATAGGAATTCGCTTGTTATGGATGCCTTTTTTAAGACTGCTTAATCAACTTGCGTGGGTCACTAATGCTGCAAATTTGTCCACACTGCTACAGTTTTAGTCCTAAAGTTGTAAAAATGGACCTACCGTGTGTTTAGCATAAAAAATGGCACAGACCTAAAATCTGGTGTTCAGCGAAACATTAAAGACATATCCTCACTTAAGTTTTGTTTTGGCTTGCCTTTTGGTGTCTAGAGTAAGTCCTGCTTACCAAAGTAGAATGAGGATCACTATCAAGGCCTCATACAAAAGTGTAGCTGAATAGATACAGCAAATGAATGCTTTGCTCCACTGGTTTCAAATGAATGGTGTAGCTTTTACAGAGGGAAAAGGTCCAGCAGGTGTTTGGCCTATTTATGTGGAGAGGGCCCTATCCCCCCAGACAGCGTGTGGATCATAGCAGGAAGCTTTGTGTCTGCTTTTATTCCAGTCTTTAAGAAGCGCAGGCGGCTGAAAGAGCACAGGCGCGGATATCAAAGGGTGAAGAGCAGGCCCTCCTCCCCCAGGGACAGCACTGGGAGGGAATTGGACTCAAGCCCTCCCATCCATGGCTTTATTGTACTTTTTTGTAGGCGGGCAGTCAGAGGAGTTTCTCTCCCGCTTTTCGGGGGGTTTGTTGTGTTGGGGGGTGGGGGGGTGGGGGGTGGGGTGTGTTCAGCCGTTGAGTATGTGAAGCTGTTCTCTCCCATCTTTATGTCCCTCATTAGACTTTGCAGGAGGCACGTCTTTGTTTTTATCACGCCTCTGTTTTAAAGCCACAGCTCCCCAGTTGTGTAGGTGTTAGGTGTTGGAACATGGTGTCTGTGCAGTCTCAGTTCAGGGCGCACAGTATGTGGTTAAAAATGAGAGGCACAGGGGAGTTTTATTTGCATAAGGTAAAGGGAAATTTCTCCAGGTGCCTTTGAAGTGTTTTTGAAAGGCCGAGAAGATGGAGAATGAAGGCTGATAGGAATTCCCCTTCTTTCATGGTGTTTTGCTGGGGGTGGTGAAACAACCCAAGTGGATGTTTCAGACAGCCAGCTGTGTTCTTTCCCTTTCTCGTCATTAGGCCATTTGCTAATCTTTCATATGCATTATGTAGGCTGACATCCTCTGGTTTTTATATTTGTAGTTCATTAACATGCTTATTTATATAGTTGCAGCCCTGCCTTTTTAGCAGTTTCGTTATTTATCATTTTTAAAACACATAACCCAAATGCTGATGTTAAACATTCCTTATTTAGAGGATTTGATCGTCAGCAGCTGTCAAAACTTCAAATCCTTTGGGGAAAATGGGTTCAGTAAATTTGTCGTAGGCCCCGCTATCAAATATCCTGGGACTTACAGTTAATGATCAGTTGTGTTACTTGATGTGGATATGTGGGTCTTCAGTGATTATAGGGGTTTGTGTATGTTTAGTATCGTTGGCCACACGCAGTAGTGTAATTATGCCCCATTCTGGAGAGGGATAGTTGCCAGGTTTTGCTGTGCTTGCCAGTTTATGCCTGGTTCTTGAGTTAACTGCCGTGTTGAACTTTCCTGGGTTTGTGACCATCTGCTCAGGACGGGATGCATCATGGCTGCATGTAAACAAATCGCCTGCTTGTTAACCTTTTGTTAACTAAAGCTGACAGATGGCCCAAAAGTTGTTTGTGTGATCGTATTCGTTATGATGTGTAGAGGAGCTCCATGCTGCCCTTTCTAGGCTACGGCTGGTGGTCAGACTCTTCATTTATAATCCATTCACTTTAGTCTCGTCTCTTTTTGCTAAGCTGAAGCCAGAGGATGGGCAGCGTAGCAGAATTTTACCATCACGATACTTGATTTTACAGGACACAATAAATATTACTGTATTGAGTTTTATGAACAAGTTACAAAGGACAAAATTCACCAGCAAAACGGTAGAGCTGTACTTCTAAAAAAGGCACTGAAAAACAGATTTTTTTAGGGATGCATTGATACTAGGTTGATGCCGATATTCAGTATGTTTTTTATATATCAGGTCAGGCATGGACAGTCTAAGAAAGAAAAGGGAAACAATGACAAGCCTTTATAGTTCGCCCTCACCCATTTGCCACTGTGTGTCCCTCCCCCTTCTTGCACTCGGAGCAGGTGTCTGTGTGTTGGCTGTGCGGGGTGTCGCTTTCTCGATCCCAGTATCTCTGAGCTCCCCGTCTGCCTCGGCCGTGGGCGTTGATTGAGCAGCCTGCAGTGGAGAGACAGAAACTTGTAGTGTGTGGGCGGTGTTGTTTAGATTAGCTTTTCATGTGTGCTTGTCGGCCACTGAGCCTTTTTCATCTCCCTGAATCTGCGCTGTAGCTACTGTTGCTGTCTGGTCAAAGTAGTGTTGTGCCCAGCCTATCTCCCTCTTCCCCCCCTCCTCCTCCTCTTTCCCTCTCTCCTGTCACTGGATGTTGTTTACATCTTGCAGTGTGTGTCATGTACTGTGTGTGTGTGTGTGTGTGTAAATGAGTGTGAGTGAGGGAGAGTGTGCCGGAGGCAGAGGAGCACTGTCGTTGAGAGCTACTCATGCTGTCATAGTGACTCTGAGCTGCAATCCTTCTTTAAGCTCTTCACTACTACCAACACATATGGAGAGCTGCATTATGTTTTCAGTCAGATCCCTCATCATAGAATATGAAAAGAATACTGTGGAACTCTGAGAGTATGTTTTTCTCTGAGAGTGTTGTTTATGAATGCCAACCCAAATTGGCTTAGTCCCACTTATAATTAATTACACATTAATTAAAATTGCTAGTAGTTATTAGCCGGGCCCATCAGAGATATTTCCAAGATTATTTCTTTAAAAACTGTTATGCTTCAAAATGAGCTATTTTTAATTGAAACATTTCACCTAAGATGGACATCTAAAAGTAGGCAGTCATGCTCAAACTACTCAAACTCTCTACTACCCTGGGAAGAAATACACAGTTAACAACATTACATCACACAATGTGAATGTGTGCTATTTCAGGATAGATTTGTTACAGGATCACTCCTTTTTCCCTCCAGTATCCAGTCCAGCATCTTCTGCCAAAAACAGTCCGTTACCAAATCAACTGTCAGATCAGTGCCACCTGTAATATTTAGCTTCTTGCTTGTTCTCTTATAATTGATTCATTTATTAATTAAAGAAATTTCACATTTCAGTGCACTGCTCAGCACTTGCGGTCTTGGATCAGTTGGTAGCAGCTCTACAAACTTTGACTGCAGCCCTGCGTGCTATAAATAAAGATTGTGAAATGAAATGCCCCACAAGCCACAAAGGCTGTGTGAAGAAGACTCGAGACTTTAATAATCCTGTTGAAGTCTTTATATGTAAAATGCATTTTGGTATACGTCTGCAGTGAACAAGATGCTAGGCTTGGTAATATTTGAGTGTTCAGGATGTGAAGCATGTTTATACATTTGTGTGTGTTTTGCCTGACCAACTTCAGAATAGGCATTAATTAACATCATCATCTGCAGTGTAAGTCCAGTGAGAAATCTTATATATGTGGACTTCAGTGGACCAGTTACATTGCTCCTAAAATAGGTTTGGAATTATGACCCACCTAAACTGTTGTGACAGAATTAGATCAGAAGAACTATAAATGGCTTTTGTAATAAGTGTTCCTCCCACTATCCCTTGCTGTAAGCCAGGGATAGGCTGCAAAATATTATGTAGTCCTGTAGTGCTGTAAGATCCAATCACCTTATGTGTGCATCTTATCTGGTAGGACAAAAGTGGAGCAATTATCAGGTGATAACATCTCTTTCGGCAGATGGGTACTATTAATAACAATTATTTCATTCATTTTCAACTTTGTCTGCCTGCCTCCTCATTAAATCAGATTTAATTCTCTTTCAATCTAGGTAAGATTTTAGACTTTGCATTGAAGTTGACAAGTCCTTTGGCAGAATTGGCAGCAGTTAGTTCTAGTTTGGCTCTGTCAGTGATGCTTTGTTGTTGTACATAGCTTATTACTATATTACCATCATCAGTTTCTGCCATCATCCTGTGCAGTTTCAATCATTCAAACAAACCATTCCTCATGGCTATTACTTTGAAATTATTAATGTAGCCTTAAGCCAGTTAATCAATTTACATTGATAAATACTTTCACTCAGAATTTCAAGCATTTGTCAGGCACTTTCACTGTATGTTTTGTGAATGTTTTATTTCTGTTGGCCGTGAATGGAATTTCAAAACTTAACTTTTGCAAGTAACAGAAATACAGAGCCGTTATGTAAAGACCTGTTGTTTGGTTTCAGGTTGAGAATTACTATCATTATGTGTGTTCTGCAACCTCAGGCGTCACATTTGTCATGAAAATGGGATGTAACTGAATGAATCAGCAAATGAAAGCTAAACTGCTTTGCGGTAATTGTCTTGGGAATTTATTGAGTCAGAAGATGAGTGAAGAATAGATAATGCACCAACAGTGCCTCACTTAAAAGCAATGACCTAAAAAAACCCAATAATGAATGAATCCAGCTGATTTCATTTCTATATTGATTTTTATAGGAGGAAGCATTTGGAGGCTTTGGTACGCTCCCTGAAAATGGAAGACTACAAAGTCCAGGGTGGACCTCACCAGGTGAACTGTTTTTTAACAGAACTTGTCAGCATCCCTACTGATACTAACTTACACTAATACTACTGTGTAAAATATTTGCCTTTTATCATGCCTTCAGTTTAATACCCCAATAGAAACATTTTTTTTGTTTGCTAAATTTAAAACATTAGTTCAATTGATAAGTCGATAGATATGTTTGTTTAGATGAATGTTTCAGAAAAATAATTTTAAACTCTTTGAAGTCATGTAGTGCTTTTGTATTGTGATATGTGACGTGATATGGCAGGACTTTTTCCAAGGCTTGTACTATTTGTACATGTCACAGCGTAGACTTTTATGCTGATAAGAGGGGTTTTACTTTCAGTTTCTGAATTAAATGCTTTCTCTTTGTGTTAGTTACTCCAGCACAGGAGAAGAAGCCCAGAGGCCGCCCCCCAAGAGCAACAGCTGCACAGAAATTAGCTGCAAGTGTTGAACCTAAGCCTCTGTCTGTCCTCACAGTTCCTCCTACAGAAAAAGTGAAACGGCCACCAGGTAGACCCCCTGGCTCTGGTGAAAAAAGAAGAGGCCGTCCTCCTGCGTCTGCCAGCCAGAGAAGCTGGCCACAAAGTGGCCATGTGTTACCTAATGACAGTAGGGATGCTGCGCTGGAGCACAGCTCGAGTGCAGCACTACGCAAGGACATGGTGGAGGATGACAGGGAGAGAAAGGCCACAAAGCGAACTCCTCTTGGGTCTGTGCAACAGCAGGGATCTGAGGCCAAGCTGTCCAAAATGGGCCGCGATTCTAAGGTGACCAAACTAAAGCGACTACGGGATGTCAAGCTAAGCCCTCTTAAGTCTGGACTCTTAAAAGGTGTCCCAGTCCCCGTTGTGCCAAGACGGAGGCGTGGCAGACCTCCTGCTGCTGAGCGCCTCAAAGCTGAGGCTGCCGCTGCTGCTGCTGCCCAGGCTGCTGCCTCCTCAGTCCCAGAGCTGTCCCCCACTGAGGCTGGCACTGCCAAACAAAAGGCCTTCAGGGTTCGCCCAGAACGAGATTTCGACCCCCGCACTCCACAGCATCTCAAGCTCAGGGCCTCTCATCCTGCTGATGAATGCACTAGCCCAGATCCCCACGATTCCCCATCAACAGACCCAACCACACCTTCAAAACTCGGAAGGCCGTTAGGGTTACGGCAAAGCCCTCGCCATATCAAGCCTGTGCGAATTGTACCACCTTCCAAACGCACTGATGCCACTATCGCTAAGCAGTTATTGCAGCGGGCTAAGAAAGGGGCGCAGAAAAAGAAACTGTTAGAAAAGGAGACAGTAGGTACCCAGGGAGCAGCAGGCATGGAGGCTGGTATTAGGAGGAGAAGAAGAACGCAGCTGAAAAACATTCGCCAGTTCATCATGCCTGTAGTCAGTACAGTGTCCCTACGGATTATTAAGACTCCAAAACGTTTCCTTGAGGATGAGGCCAGCTTTGGCACTCCACCACCACACATGAAAATTGCACGACTGGACTCTACTGTACCTGCTCCACCACCCCAGCCTACATCATCCTCATCCACTCTTGTTTCCACTTCTCCAGCAGCAACTGGAACATCTGCCATCACTGGGGCCGGACCTGCTGTTGATACTCTCCCACCTCCCCCTGCCCCTGCCCCTACTTCAAGCTCCACTGTTGTTTCAGCAACAACTCTCCTTAACAACAGTACGTGTAACAACAGCAATGGCCGCTTCAGTAGCAGTGCAGCGTCCTGTGGCTCCAGTGCAGTGTCCCAACATTCCTCCCAGCTGTCCTCTGGAGAGTCTTCCCGCTCCAGCAGCCCCAGTCTGGATGACTCCTCCTGCGACTCCCAGGTTTCAGATGGCACCCAGGCTCTCTCAGAGGAGCCTGACCATTCCCCTTCCTCTCAGGGAGAGAGGGAGGCCAATATGCACCATGCCCCACATCCCCTATCCCCACCATCCGAGCCTGAGACAGAGCAGATGGTGTTGATGGAGCCAACCCGACGAGGACGCAGAGGTCAAGGCCTCAGGAGAGGCAATCTTGTGGCACGTGGGCGTGGCAATCTGATAAGTGATAGAAAAAAGTCCATTATCAGCCCTGCCACAGGTGTACTGATGTCCTCTTCTCAGGCAGGGTCCCAACAAGCTTCTTCTACTGCCTCTTCTTCCTCCTCTCCACCGCCACCCCCACTTCTTACTCCGCCTCAGCCTCCACAGTCAGCTTCATCCAATGCACCTGCCATCAGTGAACATCATCCCCACTCTGCTTGGATCATGCCTCATCCCATTGCCCCCTTCCTGTCGGCTCCTCCGATACTCCCTGGTTCTCATGACAAACGCCGCGCCATACTCCGGGAGCCCACATTCCGCTGGACATCTTTGTCCCGCACAGAGCAGCAATACTTCTCCTCTGCAAAGTATGCAAAGGAGGGCCTTATTCGCAAGCCCATCTTTGATAACTTCCGCCCTCCACCACTTACGGCTGAGGACGTGGGGCTGATGCCTCCTGGCCCTGGCGGAGGTGGTGTGGCACAAGGAGGTTTCCCTGCATCTGGGGCAACTGGGGCAGGCACCAGGCTGTTTTCCCCTCTGCATCATCACCACCAGCATCCCTCATCTCGTTTTGAGCCTCAACTCCACAAACGCAGCCCACTGCTCCGTGCCCCTCGCTTCACTCCTAGTGCTGCCCACTCCCGCATTTTTGAATCTGTCACTCTCCCACCTTCCTCAGGGAGCAGCCCTGGCTCTCTCTCTCCTCTCCAGGCCACATCACCATCCAACAGGACGTTACGACGAAGGAAGAGAAGGTCGTTTGGGCTTTCACGTGGACACCCCAGGTCACCCTCGCACTCCATGACCACACGGAGTGGTCAGTCAGGATCCCAGGCTGGAAAAAGCTCATCTGAACTCTCCTCACTGACCAGCTCTGTACCCACAAGTGTAACTGGCAACTCCAGCCCTTTACAGGTTGCAGTCAGTCCGATAGCTCCAAGTGCCTTAACTCAAGCCCCTTTCAGCACCTTCTCTTCGGGCTCCCTTGGCCCCATTACTCACGGAGCCTCTGATGGCCGAAGAGCAGCCGGGTGCCTCGGTGGGAGTTCAGCCTCTTCCTCTTCACAGCTCTTCCCTCGTTTCGCTTCCAGTCCCCAAGGTCCAAGTGGGGGCACTGGAAAAGCTGGGAGAGAGCGAAGTGTCTCCGCTTCAAGAGACACCTTTCCCAAGGAGAAAGAACGGGAGACAGAGAAAAGTAGGGAGCGTGAAAAGGAAAATAAAAGAGAAGGGAAAAAAGACTGGGAAAGAAGAGGGAAGAGCCTCCCTTCAGAAGGTCCTAACAATTCCACCGCAAGCCTTTTTGCTGCGGATGGCAAGGACGTTGAAGAATCTTTCACCCAGAAAAAGACTCCTGGGCAGAAGAAATCAGTTTCTGTTGACTCTGGTGCAGAGGCCTCTCCTGTTGACGCAAATGTGGTCCAGTCGGTCGGGGCATTGTTATCCAAAGGACGCCTGTCCAAAAAAGGCAGAATGTCAGAGAAAGGTGCGGAAACTGAGGGAGTAGAGAAGGACAAAGACAAGGAGAGATCAAGCTTACCTATCCAGCCAGGGCAGCCCGGAAAACCCCCCAGCACAGCATCACTAGGTTCCATGCTGGCTCATGCTGAAAAACAGCCGGTCACAGATAGGCGTGTGGCAGGCCTGCTGAAAAAGGCTAAAGCCCAGCTTTACAAGATAGAGAAGAGCAAATCATTGAAAACAGTGGATCAGCCTAAAGTGCAGGTTGGTGTCATAGAACATCCACCATGTTAGTATGTGCTTGTTAGTCTTATTTTGGCAATAATGGGGCTGCATCAAACAATAATAGACTGTTAATTATAATTTTGATGAATGAAATATTCCTTAATTAAATTTCAGTTATCTATTGATTGAAAAAATAAATACTGATAGTTTGTCAAAAAATCAAATGTACACAGATTTCATCTGTTCGCAAATGTAGGTTTTGCATGTGAGCTGTCAGGATAATGTTGCTAACAAGTAATGGAAGTTTATAACTCACCAATTAGCATTGGCATCGCCACACACTTGTAATCTTAAATACACTTGCTTTTATCGTTTCTGAGCCTTTGTCTGTCTATAAATGTGGACAAACTGTTTTTATATATGTGTGGTACTTTTGTCCATGATATCATTTTGGTTATATTTTTCTTGACCTGAAACACATAAGTAAGAAACAAGGGGGAGGTAAACAGGAATGTTTTCGAAGGGGGATTTATCACATGATTTTTTACGACTGTAGTGTGGCTGGTGTTTGTTTTATTTGCTTCCATTTATTTGATTGTTCAGCACAAAATACATTTATGACTGTTTGCCTGCATAGGGTCAGGAGAGTGATTCTTCTGAAACTTCAGTCCGTGGTCCACGAATCAAGCATGTGTGCCGTCGTGCCGCAGTAGCATTGGGTCGCAACCGTGCTGTGTTTCCAGATGACATGCCCACCCTTAGTGCCTTGCCATGGGAGGAGAGAGAAAAGATCCTGTCTTCCATGGGGAATGATGGTGCGTGTCTTCCGATATTATCTTCATTTTATGGGGGAAACTCCTGCACATCTTCATATTTGTTTCTGATTCTCTTGTAGATAAATCTTCAGTGGCAGGGTCAGAAGAAGCAGAGCCATCTACCCCTCCCATTATTAAGCCAGTAACAAGGCACAAAACTGTCCAGGAGGCCCCACCCAGAAAGGGCCGGCGCTCGCGTCGCTGCGGGCAGTGTCCTGGCTGCCAGGTCCCAGATGACTGTGGAGTTTGCACCAACTGTCTGGATAAGCCTAAGTTTGGAGGACGCAACATTAAAAAACAGTGCTGCAAGTGAGTACAATTTTGTGGACTAAAGAATTAATTGTACATTAATTTTAGGTCTCTGAAATAGAAGACGTTTGAAAATGGCATCTTGTTAGTTTTGCCTCTTATCCTGCTTGTGCTCATTGCCATAAATTCTCCACTGCTCACAAACGGACTTAACAAGAAGAATATGGTCCCACATTTTAAAACAAGAAATGAAGTAAGCCACATCAGACATAACAGTTGCATAAAACACCCTGAACCTGAACAAAATGTTCTTAAAGGAATAGTTCGGTTCCACCGGCACAATGAGGTTTCTGCCGGTGGAACCGAACTATTCCTTTAAGAACATTTTGTTCAGGTTCAGGGTGTTTTATGCAACTGTTATGTCTGATGTGGCTTACTTCATTTCTTACTTCATGCCAGTCTGCCACCCAGCAATTCTGTATTATGCTCTATGTATGGGTGCTAATTGTACAATACACATTTTCCATCTGTGATGCATTAAACTGTGGCAGTCAGTTGCATCTCAGTTGGCATTTAAAAAAGTGAATGGTATGTAATTAGTTAACTCCTAAAACCCATATGTGGACCTACAATTTAATGTCTCACTCTCATAACAACAGAACTTCTGTGTTAGGGTTATTAGTAGTTACCAAAGAATATTAGTAAGTATTTTATAATAAGTCTCAAGATTAATAACTGAATAATACACCTTCAGTTTGCAATTGATGCATTCTGTTTATTATTTATGCCCAATGAGAAATGGTAGGTGTCCACACACAATTCTGTGTGCACTGGTTTTTGAAGTGTACTAAACTCTTGTAATTGCAGTTGCAGTATTTGGGCTGGATAATCAGTTATCGTTAACGTTGTAATCGTTTAACCTTGCATGGCTTAAGTACTTTTTCAGTTGCACTTAAAAGAGATGTATTTGCACATTTTCACAGGGTAAGGAAGTGTCAGAACTTGCAGTGGATGCCATCAAAGATGTTTCTTCAGAAGCAAGCAAAAGGTCAGTTCCCTACACTCTACACTGACACTCTAAAAATATAGTTTGAAAAAGGCATGCCTTTGCCCTATATAAATGACGTATTTATTGCTTCAGGTAAAAAAGATAAGAAGAAAAACAAATTGCCTGAAAAAAAGGAGACACATCACCCCGTCAAATCTCAGTGTCCTGAGCTGAGCCCCAAATCAGCCCTTCCTCCCTCAAAGGATGACCCTCCCACAAAGAAAACTGAAACGGCACCCCCAGCGAAGGCTGAGGACAAACAAAAGCAACAGCGGCCTCCATCACCTCCACCACCCAGCTCTTCCCCAGCTGACCCCCCTTCACTCCCCAGTCTAGAGGATCAAAGACAACCCTTAACCTCTCCAAGCTCTGCCTCTAGGAAGGAGCGAAAGCAGCAGCAGACCAGCCCTTCATCCAGCTCCCCACACACCACTCCATCTTCCCCACCAGCACTGTCCCAGCAACCCATACAGCAGCAAAGCCATGCGCCAGCAAAAAAGGAAGGACCCGTAAAGTCACCATCTAGTGAGCCCAAAAAGAAGCCCCAGCAGCATAACCAGCCTTCATCTGTTACACACTCGGGTAGGAACCACTAATGACATGCCTTGCCAGCTTTGGTTCTTGTGTGTGATTTCACATTACGTGTTATCTTGCATAATCTTTCAGTACAAGAAGCAAAGCCAATAAAGAAGCAAACAACTCGTTGTGCTCCTCCACTAAAGCCAAAATCAAAGGAGAAGGTGAGGTCTTCTTGCTGAGTAGCTTTTAGCCATCGATATCATTTGGTGCCATATTATGTAGTTCTTGGCTTTACCGCCCACCTGATCTGTTGTTTACAGGAGAAACAGATGGCCACCAAACCCGACCGCAATACTTTAAACTTCCTGAGCACTCCCTCGATTGGGGGCACCGCCCAGCAGAAAGCACCCTGCGACGGAGTGCATCGAATCAGAGTGGATTTTAAGGAGGACTATGACATTGAGAAGGTGTGGGAGATGGGTGGCCTCAGCATCCTCACCTCTGTGCCAATCACCCCACGGGTGGTCTGCTTTCTCTGTGCCAGCAGTGGCAATGTGGAGGTAAACAAATCTTTTTCACTATGTAACACCGTCTGCTCCTCTAGGTCTGTATGATATGGACAAAATACCAGGATTGTGTTTTTTATCGATACACAGCCCTGTTGCGGTTTGCCTTGCAATATTTTTAATTACTGGCAGTGTCCTCTCCCCCTCTTTCTCTGATACATATGAGGTAGTTTTGCTAACTGTGTGGCCTCTCCACAGTTTGTGTTCTGCCAGGTATGCTGTGAGCCTTTCCATCTCTTTTGCTTGGGGGAGACAGAACGCCCCCACAATGAGGAGTATGAGAACTGGTGCTGCCGCTGGTGTCGCTTCTGCCATGTCTGTGGCCGCAAGCACCAAAAAACTAAAGTAAGCTTTTTTCTTTTGTTATGAATATAAATGTTTCCTATGATATTTAGTGCACAGTTATTCAGCCTGGTTCATTTCAGTAGTATTTTTTTGTTACCTATTAAATACCTCCTTGATTAGCTTGGAGTGACTTATAATAGAGCTTGGTGCATTGGACTTCCAACAAGGGCTGGGATTGCTATTTTACCAGAATAGATTAACAGAATTTCACAGGAAAACATTTGCCCATGTAATATGTTTGAGTTGAAGAGAAGTACCACTTCAGGGCTCCAAACCTAGGGGAATGAAAGTTGTATCAAATTCTTTAAGCCTTATTCTGTATACCTTTCAGTGTACATGTTGTACATTCATTAAAGGTTTCTTTTCTATGTGCATTTTCCTTGTTCAAGAGGGGAAAGTTCTGCCTGTAAGTGACCTGTAAAAAGTGTTATGTAGAGTGGGGAACTGATGTGTGTGCCCACATATAGGCCTATAAGGTTTAATGGCTTTAAGTTTTGATGAAGCTGAGCTCTTGGTTCTCTTTATCTTCGTGCAGCAGTTGCTGGAGTGTGACAAGTGCCGAAACAGCTTTCACCCTGAGTGCCTGGGACCCAACCATCCAACTCGACCCACCAAGAAAAGAATCTGGGTATCTATACTTGCTAAATTCCTGGGTGTTTTTGCAGGTATTAGTAAGCTCTGGTTGTTTCTCTGGTTTGTTTTACAGTTATTTACTAAGTCTTTTAATCTCCTACAGATTTGCACCAAGTGTGTTCGCTGTAAGAGTTGTGGGGCCACAAAACCAGGAAAAGCCTGGGATGCCCAGTGGTCACATGACTTCTCCTTATGTCATGATTGTGCCAAACTCTTTGCTAAAGGTTGGTATTAGTTACACTGGCAGATGATTGCCTGTATTTGTGAGTACATGAGGCTAATATGTAACATCTGTTTGTAGGCAACTTCTGCCCTCTCTGTGATAAGTGCTATGATGATGATGATTATGAGAGTAAGATGATGCAGTGTGGGAAGTGTGATCGCTGGGTTCATGCCAAATGTGAAAATCTAACCGGTGAGTGAAGTGTTGGTTCTACTTTTCAGATAGTCTTGTCACTTTCTTTGGTGCAGACTCTCCCTTGTTTGGTAGAAAGCAGTAATGCTCTGCTTGGTATATCTGCCTTTATTCGGTGATACTTTTCAGAAAACTCAGAACCTTCTCTCCCTTTTTATTTTCATTCGTTTCATTTTAGATGAGATGTATGAGCTTTTGTCCAACCTCCCTGAAAGCGTAGTATACACCTGCATCAACTGCACTGAGCGCCACCCGCCTGAATGGCGCACTGCCTTGGAGAAAGAGATTCAGAGCTCCATGCGCCAAGTTCTTACTTCACTCCTCAACTCCCGCACTTCCACTCATTTACTCCGTTACAGACAAGTAAGCTCATCCTGCCAGTGCTTTTCCCGTATGCTGGATTGATCCTTCTGTGCTGCGCTGTGGTTCTTTGCTGATCTATATCCTGTTTAGAGCCTTACCAATATATATGTCCAGCCAAAGTTAATCATTCATAGATTTATCTGTATGCTAATAAAGCACCAATATTGCTTTGAATATTGAGAGAAATTACTAGTTTCTGAGGACTGAAGTGGGCTTGTAATAGATTACATTACAATATGCCACAGTATGCCACAATATGCTTTTCTCAGCACATCACTGATATCATCATCAGTACTTAAAGAACACTGACTTACGGCATGTATCACTAATATTCATATCAGTAAACTTGTTCTATCATAGGCAGTGATGAAACCACCAGAGCTGAATCCAGAGACAGAAGAGAGTCTCCCCTCACGGCGCTCTCCTGAAGGGCCTGACCCCCCTGTCCTTACAGAGGTTTCTGTGCCCACTGACTCGCCCCTTGACTTAGAGTCTGTGGAGAAGAAGATGGATTCAGGGCACTATAAATCTGTGGTGAGGCATCAGACATATAGGACGTTAAACCATGCATAACTGTCTTAAGTCTGAGTGGGATGCCACATTTCTGGCCCTGTGTAAAAGATTAGCAATAGCTTGTTGATCCTCAGAGGAGGGTTCAGATGTAGGTCAGTCCAGTAGCTGAGTGACACTGTGATGTGTTCATGTCTTTCAGCTGGAGTTCAGTGATGACATAGTGAAAATCATCCAGACAGCTATCAATTCAGAGGGAGGGCAGCCCGAGAGCAGGAAGGCCAACAGCATGGTCAAGTCCTTCTTTATCCGGGTAAGGACTGAGCAAGAACAGGCACAGTGTTCAGAGTGGATTGTGTTTTAGGCCTGGAACACTGCTGTCTATGACTGTCTAACACTTCTGTACCTCTTACAGCAAATGGAAAGGGTTTTTTCATGGTTCAAGGTGAAGGAATCCAAATTCTGGGAAACACACAAAGTCACTTCCAAGTGAGTTTTTCTTTTAATGACTATGTCAGCTGTCACTTTTCTTCTGCTGAGTTATTCCAATGCCTTTGTTTTCCGTTGTGGTATATTATATGGTTTAGTTTGTTTCCTTTTATACATGGAGAGGTCTGTTGAAAAAAGCTTCATAATTTTGAATTTGGAGAGGGAGTGCTAACACTGTATTACGCTGTATGTTATCAGTTAATGTAAGCAATGGTACCACACGTTGCATTGGCAATGGCATGATGAGGAGCTAGAACAGCTTGTCGACGGGGCATCTGTCTATTCTTTGCTCTCCTTCAGAGCAGAAATATCAGCTTTCCATAGGGAATGCAGTCTGCATGGTCTAGTTCCATTGTTTGAGGCCAGCCTGCAGTGTCACATTTCACGTAGGTGCTTTGACAAGTCGTGCGGTCACCCTGTGGTTAGTCTGTTGGTAGACTTCATTTGTTAACGTGCATTATTCAGGAGTGTGCAAAGCAATTTTTTTCATATCTCAGAGCTTGAAATATCCTTCCACAAAAGCCATCAGATGAGACTATATTTTTCCTTGTTACTTTGTAGTCATTAGCATGGAATTGCACCACCAGCTTTAAAAGAGATGCTTTCGGTCAAATGCTGGTTAGAGTTCTCACACATTTAGAGGTGACATCACTTTTTTTTTAGAGAGAGGTTTTGTTTCTGATCACTGATCACCCTATAGAGCTTAACAGATTTGTATAGTTAAATTGTGCCAGTGCTTTATACAATACTGTGCAAAAGTCTTTGGTATTTAAGACAATTTGCAAAGCTATTTATGTGGACGGTAAGCATTCATTTGTTAAAAAGAACAAACATTAAAATATTGTACAATAAAAATAAACAATACATTGTGATTTTATGTGTCAGTCTGTTAACCATCTCCAAACCTTTTCTCAGAGGAAAAACAACAGTGTTCACAGTTACCATCCAGTAACTAGTTTGTCTAATTATGCATCATTGAATCAAATCAAGTGTTGATGAAATTTAACAAAGCTTACGACTGGTGTGCACAGAGAAGTAAGGAACCAGACCTGTGGTGTTCTAACTGTATTCTTTTAACCAAGTTAACCCAGTTATAATTTTTATAATTTATATCTTAGAACTGGGGCTTCACTATGACATCTAAACTTTTTTAGTATTAGACAGATGTTCAGATTTGACTGATATTTCAAATGATATTTGATGGCACATTTATTGTACTCCAGAAGAACAGAACATTGAGGGAAAGTTGGGCTACTGTGTCTGCATTTTATTTATCATTTTGCTGTATTTTTAACCCTAAAGAAATAATTCTTATGTTTCTTGGTAATGCTAGTTCAGGTGACTGTACTCCTAATTTCTGCTTTTTATAAATGTTTTGTATCTGCAGCAGCAAATATATATGAAAAATACTAGATATCAGCACATCGCTACTTAGAACTACAGTAATCTTTGCACAAAAACAGTCAGTAGACTCTAGATTTGCCTTGTTACATTGTAGTTATTCACATGAAAGTGTACCACCAGTATTGAGTGTCTTTCTGCCACATGCTGTGATAGAGGTCTCACATAAGTGGTGAGATGATCAGTTTTTGTTTTCTGTCACTGATAAACCTATGAAAGTTGAAACAGTTACATTGTGCCAGTGTATTGTATGTATGTTGTTATGCTAAGTAGTGTTATTCTCTTTGTTCTTCTGCAGTAGTGGGTTACTTCCTAATGCGGTACTGCCCCCTTCTCTGGATCACAACTATGCCCAGTGGCAGGAGAGGGAAGAGATAGCACGTGCTGAACAGCCGCTGCTTATGAAGATCATTCCTGCTCCTCGACCTAAAGTCCCTGGAGAGCCTGACTCCCCAATAGCTCCCACACCACCACCACCGCCAGCTCCTCAGTTTATACATGGTGAGGGAAAGGACACAGGATCCAAAGCTAGCAAAGTAACTTTTATCAACTGGAAAGAGGAAAATATGTAACTTGAAAGATCTGATTTTTTCCTCTCTTTGTTTCTTGCTTTGTCACTCCTTCACTTCACAATTCACTTAGACCTCAGTCGGGAGGACAGCCCTGAGCTTCCTCCTCCTCCCGGTGTCAGTGACAACAGGCAGTGTGTGCTTTGTCTTAACTATGGAGATGAGAAGACTAATGTAAGTGGCCCCACAGTAAGTGTGTTTCACGAGCAACAGCCAAGTAGGAATCGGGTGTATAGTAATTCACTGGTATCAAACTTAGCTAAAAACATTCTACTCTTGTGACATTCATCATGATAACCTAAGTAATATTTCACTGCTGTCTGAACAAAACCTCTTCTTCTTCATTTTTGTGATGAATGAACCAAAAGAAACAGCCCAAAATTACTTGGAAAAAAGTCTGGTTACATTAACTTACATTAAAAGTAAAGTATGTTTTTCCTTTTCCTCTGAAGTTATCATTTTGGAGATACAAGGTTTTGTCGTGACAGCAGTGGTTTACAAAGCTGTTGCATTTGGAAAAAAATCCAAATTGTTTTACACACTTTCCCAGATTTCCAGTTTAGCTGGTTGCTTCTTATGATTGTGGAACACACTGTATAGTATTAGTACTACTTGTATTCAGCTAGCATTCTTGTTCTCTGTACTGACTGAAACATTTGTGTTCAATTTTACTATTTATTCCTTTGTTCTTAGGAGTGTGGAAGATTGCTTTACATTGGCCAGAATGAGTGGGCCCATGTGAACTGTGCATTGTGGTCAGCAGAGGTATTTGAGGATGATGATGGCTCTCTCAAAAATGTCCATATGGCAGTGAGCAGGGGCAGACAACTGGTAAGGCCATGTTAGACATATACTTGGTGCATTGTATGATGAGTCTGTCTGCATGTTATTTATCTTCTTATATACCATTTATCCAGGAATGCAGAGTCATCATTCCTTTTTTTTGTTATAGCGATGTGAGAACTGTCAAAAGCTTGGAGCCACTGTCGGTTGCTGCCTCACCTCCTGCTCAAGTAACTACCACTTCATGTGTGCACGCCAGCGTAACTGTGTCTTTTTGGAGGACAAGAAGGTTTATTGCCAACGCCACAGAGACCTCATCAAGGGCGAGGTATAGAACTCGCTATTTAAAAAGCTTGCTGCTTTGTGTCAGTGCGGCTGAAGAGATGCACATTAACGCTTATTGTTTACTGAATTATTGTTTAGGTGGTGTCAGACACAGGCTTTGAAGTAACCCGGAGAATTCTGGTGGATTTTGAGGGAATCAGTTTGAGAAGAAAGTTTCTCAGTGGTCTTGAGCCAGACAATGTCCACATGATGATAGGTCAGAATATAATTAATTTTGGAACACTTTCTCTAATTTGTATAGAGTGACTCATGTGATAAGGTGAACTGTGCTTTCTTTTTTTTGAATGTAGGGTCCATGACTATTGATTGTCTTGGTATGCTAACAGAGCTCTCAGACTGTGAGAGAATGCTTTTTCCTGTTGGATACCAGTAAGTAGCCCATTATGTGAAACTGTGCAGTTAACATGCATAGTTCATTTTAAAATGCTTTAAGGTAATTTCATATTTTGCTCCATTTTAAGATGCTCAAGGGTCTACTGGAGTACTCTGGATGCCCGCAAACGCTGTGTGTATACCTGTAGAATTTTAGCATGCCGCCCTCTAGTGGCAGACACCATCAGCACAGTCCCACCAGAGGATAACCGCACCATTGCCCACAGCCCACCGCCTGTCTCAGGTAACACTTGATTTTTAAGTATGGTAGATTATTGTAAATGGTTAACTTCATTTTAGATCTTGTCCCAGAATACTTTACTATCACTTCTTTCACCAGAAGCAGACCCATCACACTTGGCTGATTCAGGTCCCATTGACTGCAACACCATGGCCATTACACCAAAGCGAAGGGTTTACTTTAGAAACAGACACCCCAGTTACCCACCCTGCCATCGTTCTCCTTCATCCAGACCTCTTCCCTCTCCAGGTATCCATGTTAATCATGGGATTCTGTTATTCAGGCTGTGTAGGACCAGTTTCATTATTATACATTTAACTGACACTCCAAACCTATTGTACATTCCTTTTGTATTTGATTGTTGTTCACACAACATTTTCTGACACTTTTCTTCCTATTAGGGGGTGTCAGCATTTCAGCCCACGAGATTGTAACTGTTGGTGACCCTCTGCTCAGCACCAACCTGCCAAGTATTGGGTCTCGTCGCCACAGCACTTCCTCCCTCTCCCCTCAGCAGGCCAAACAGAGAACCTCCAGCTCTCCGCAGGGAAGTGGTGTATCTAGCCAGATAGGCTCTTCTTCATCTGCTTCACCCCTAACCTCAACCTCCCAGGACCATGGAGTTAGAGACTCTGTGAAGGGCAAGGTACCTAGTAGTGAAAGATCTCAGTGTCGGGAGGCAAGCACTATAAATACAGGAGCTCAGGGTAGACCCAGTTATAGTTTTAGTGAGCGAATGGATGGTGGTAGAGATGTTGCTAGAAAGCAGCCAGAAGGAGAGAGTTTAAAATCAGCTCCCGCAGCAGTACTGACTGGAGTGGCCCAAGTCTCACCTCCTCTTGGAACTGCAGTTTTAACCGGGCATCAGAGGGGCAGTGGTAGCTTGCGAACAGAAAAGGGGAAACAGGCAATGAAAGACACTGACTTACCAGCTGGAGTCACACTTTTGTCCTGTCATCCACTTGCCAGTCTTTTTAAAGATAAAGCCATTCCAGGGAAAGAGGGAAGCTTAACAACTGTACAAGAATCTAAAGATACTGGAAAGACTGGCTCTTCACAGCCACTGTACCAAAAAAGTGGAGGTAGGAAGCCTCATGACTGTGTCTCAGGACCATCCCCTGCTGCAGCTATCAAGCCTCAGTGGTCATCTGGAGGAAAGACAGGAGAAGAGGATATAAAACGAGGATCCCAGGCAAGCCCTTCTGTGACGGCTAGTCATGGAACCTCTAGCACCAAAGAAAAGCACTCCAAAGTTAAATTAACAGTGGGCAGGGATATTTCAAAAGACAGGAAGGAGATGCCTCAAAACAGTAAGGCACAAATTCTCAACAGCATCTCTAAAGGCAGTAATAGCAAAACACATGGGCAAGTCCCATCCACACAAAATAATACTAATAGAGCCGCTCATAGCAGTAACAAAGCCTCAGGCAACACAGAAATTAATAAAGCAGATATTCAGGCAGGTGAGAGGCCATTAAAGTCTGGGGAGAGATTTAGTACTGAGAAAAAGCACAGTTCTACAATGGAAGCAATTCAGCCAAAGGCAGGTTCAGAGCGAAGTTTAAAACTTCCACAAGTTCACCCTAAATCAAGTAAAGAAGCTATACCAGTGGAGAAGAAGCGCACAGAGAGACTGCCTTTGATATCTCAAAAAATGGATCCTAATGGGACAAAATCTCTTAGCACATGCTCTGATACAAACACATCCGCTTCCATTTCCCCCATCAGCCATGGTCCACAGAAGAGGTCTTCCCGTACTGTGCTGTTTTCCCCTTCTGCAAGCTCTGAAAGCTCAGAGTCTGATAGTCACACTCACCCAGAGGACTGTGAGGAGCGCCTCATGGATCACCACTCCCCTGAGGATGATGGTGATGGGGAGGACCATCATTTGGAAGATGAAAGCTCTGTAGACAAGCACCATGAGGAGGACAGTGATGGTTCAGCAGGCTCAGCAAAACGGAGATACCCGAGGCGAAGTGCTCGGGCTCGATCTAACATGTTCTTTGGACTTACTCCTTTCTATGGTGTCCGCTCCTATGGCGAGGAAGACCTTCCTTTCTACAGTAGTGGGGATATCTCTTTGAGGAAGCGTTCAGGCAGCAGTAAGCGTTCAGCTGAAGGCCAGGTAGATGGGGCTGACGACATGAGCACGTCTTCTTCCGCAGACAGCGGAGAGGATGAAGAAGGAGGGTTTGGTTCAAATAAGGATTCGTATTATTACAATTTCACACGAACTATTATAAACCCCAGCTCAAGTCTTCCTACTATTGAGGGTATTGACCAGTGCTTGGGGAGAGGGTCACAGATCCACAGATTCTTGAGGGATGGAGCAAAGGAAAAGGATGCGGAAAGTGATGAAATAACAGCGACCACAAAAAATCTGGAGTGCCAACAAATTGGCCAACTAGATGGAGTGGATGATGGTTCTGAAAGTGATGCCAGTGTAAGCACCAGTAGCACAACTACTGCTACAACTTCCTCTACACTTAAAAGCTCAACTAAGAAGAGGGGGCGAGCTGACAGTCGGGCTGAGAAATCGAACACTGACTCAGGGAAAGAGACTGAAAATACTACTGGTGGAGGAGGTAGCCAAAGTCGTGATGGCCGTAAAAATCAGAAAGATAACTGCCTTCCATTAGGAAGTGTGAAATCACAGGGACAGGATCCTCTTGAAACTCAGCTGTCTCTCAGCACTGACCTTCTAAAGTCTGACTCAGACAATAATAACAGTGATGACTGTGGTAATATCCTGCCCTCTGATATTATGGAGTTTGTGCTCAATACCCCTTCAATGCAGAGCTTAGGACAGCAGTCAGAGGCTCCCTCCACTGAACCATTTTCCCTAGATGAGGGTTATGGAGTTGATGTAAATCGAAGAAAGGATATACTCTTTGAAGACTTCCCCCAGCCACTGGCCAGCACAGAACCTGTAGAGGCTGGAGTGAGCACCTCGATTGCAGTAGAGGAACCCTATGGCCTGCCTTTGGAGTTGCCATCTGACCTTTCTGTGCTTACCACTCGTAGTCCATCGGTAAATAATCAGAATCATAGCTCACTCATCTCTGAGAGCTCTGAGCGCACTATGCTCGCCCTGGCTACAGAGGAATCAGGGGTTGATAAAGGTGGGGATAAGCAAAGAGCAACTGGTGCTGTATCCAGCGAGAGCCCCCATGATAATGGTGGAGATGCACAGGTGACAGAAGGTCACATGACACCTGAACATTTCATTCCCAGCCGCATCGATGGAGACCACATCTCAAGTCCTGGAATAACCCAGGTGGCAGAGGCAGGGAATCAAGATCTGGCCAGGACATCTGGTACCCCAGGCCTGCCAAGTTCGCCCACTTTGGCTCTTCAGAGTCAGAAGTTTATTCCTGCTGCCACAGTCAGTACAGGTCCTTCTCAGATTGCAAGCTCTGCTGTTCAGTCCACCGCATCTCATTTGAAACCTGGTCCAGAGAAATTGATAGTTCTCAATCAACATTTGCAGCCTCTGTATGTATTGCAGACGCTCCCCAATGGTGTAACTCAGAAGATACAGATTGCACCATCTGTCAGTGCAACGGGTGTCATGAACACCAGTGCTCCTGTATTGACAGGCCTCAATGCTGGGATTTCCACCTCTCAGTCTCTCTTTCCTGGTGGCAAAGGTTTGGTTCCAGTGCCTCATCATCCACAGCTTCATGCTTTCACTAGCACCACTCAGACAGGTTTCCAACCTGTTATTCCTAGCACCACATCTGGCCTCTTGATTGGAGTTCCTTCTCATGATCCCCAGATTATTGCATCTGAAGCTGGGCATAGACACGATCTGGCCCCCAGTGTTGCCATGGTGTCCAGTGCATCATCCATTTCCCCACCTCCTACTGTGCTATCCACTGGACATGGCAAGAAGCGCCCTATTTCTCGCCTCCAACCACGTAAAAGCAAAAAGTTAGCTCGATCCAGAAGTCAACCCACACTGGCTCCATCAGAGGTTGGGCCAAATATGACCCTCATCAACCTGTCCTCTTCACAAATTGCTACCGGAATCCCTACTCAATCTGGACTGGTTGAACTTGGCACCATAACCACTGCAACTGCAACATCTCACCGCAAAATGCCCAACATTATAAAAAGATCAAAATCTGGAGTAATGTACTTTGAGCCTACTCTCCTTCCACAACCAATGCCAATCTCCACTAATGCTCAGCCTGGTATCCTTGGGCATGATTCCTCCACTCACTTAATACCATGCACTGTGTCTGGACTTAACCCTAATCAGTCTGTGCTGAATGTGGTGTCGATGCCTCCCACAGCGACTGGAAACCTATTGGGAGCAAATTCAGTATCTTTAAGTACTCCGGGGCTCATCAGCTCTACTGAGATCACAGGACCCATAAGCAACCTTCTCTTTAAAGCCAGTCCACATAACCTGGGCCTTCCAGAGCAGCAAATGGTTCTTCATTCAGGAACACCCGTGATGTCACAGATTGCCAGCTCTGTCCAGACTTCCATTGCTAGCAGCATCTGTGTTCTTCCACCTAATCAAACCATCAGCATGTCTGTAAACCAGCAGGTCGATAAAGAAGGCAACCTCCATCTTCAAAACCCAGTTAGCAGAGTTGTGGCAGATAAGACAGTTGATCCCAGCACAAACACATCAGGCCAAATGGCTCTTGCGCCCAGTCCCATCACACAAGACACAAACAAGGGTCGTATGGTTGGAGTTCTCACCCAAAGCTCACGGACTACACCTATCTCAAGACCTTCAAGCCAGCAGCAAGCCGTGAAGTCTCCCACAGTCACAGCTTCCACAGCCATCGGGAAGGGGAAGCAGAAAGCAAAGAGAACTCTACCAAGTATAGACAAGAATGGTGGAAAGAAGCACAAAGGTCTGCAATCTGAGGCTTTGCCAGAATCACAGGGTGTTCCTGGCTCTGCAAATCAGTCCTCTTTAGCAGGGTAAGCCATAAGAATTTGTAATTTATTTTGCTGTATATGCCTAACTAAAACACATCGGATTAAGCTGTAGTATTTTGCCTATCCATAGGTCAAGACAGCCTGAACCGATGGATACAGGAAAGCCTAATGAAAAAGGTTCAAGAAAGAGGTACCTTATTTATGGTGGTGTGACTGAAATACATTTATGTTCCCATATTGATTACTGGTTATCTGCACTAAACAACATCTATATTGCTTGCAGTGACTCTGTTACTAGAACATGTGACTCTCCTGCTCTTAGACAGAAGGCCATAGAACCTCATGATGAAAAACCCAAGACTGCAGGTGGGTGTAGCAGTTTTTGAATAGATAGCAAATATATCTAAGCTAGATGTTTAGATACACATTTTTATGGTTCTTTTTCATTTCATTTAAATGTAGCCTAATTTTCTGCACACTGTTTTTTTCAGGCCAGAATAATGGAAAAGGATCCAGTGTGCTGCTAGAGGCCAATCCTGATCAGAAGGATGGTGGGCAAAACTCTTCTTCAGACTACAAGCCCAAAAAAGGACTCCTGTTCGAAATTTGCAGTGATGATGGCTTTAAGATCTGCTGTGAAAGCATTGAAGGTAGGGTTTATTTTGGGAAGTAAAGACTTGGATAAGAATTTAAGTATGTGATGTTTGTAACAGTTGTTGAAAGTATGGGTGCAGTCTAAGGATACACATTTTGGCAAGTTTTTATTGTTTATTTTTTATTTTTTTATTCTACGGATAACCAACTGCCATTAGTTGGCGATTAACTGACTGGCTGAACAACATTCAAAGCCGTTGTAAAATACGTGACATACGCACACATATGAGCGCACACATCAACTGAATTCCATATTAATATGCCGAGAAATTAAAAAGTATTCCTTGTATAGACTGTGGAACATGGTACTGATAGGTGGGGCCAGGCATGAGGATGTATATAAAGTAAATGGTCCAAAACTGTAGGAAACATATCCTGTGTAAAACCCTGGTTTTGTTAAAATTGACAAACTATATGTTCTTGATTATTTGACCAAAAATCAAAAAGTTAATAAATTGATTGGAATAGATTACGATAAGCTAGTGTGAAGTTCTAGGTTCTAAAGTTATGTTATATTTACCACTCATTACCAGCACAAGTTAAAATGAACATAAATGGCATGACCTGGACTAGTTTTGGTTCACTGTACGTCATTAGCTCTCAAAAACTGCTGCCGTCCGCATCATCCTTCTCTATAAATATGCACACAGATGTATGATTTCCTCATACTGCCATGCATCACCCTTTCACCTGTAGAACATGAACGAAATAGTTGTCTTGTCTCTTATCATGTTTGCTTTCAATACACTGTTGTAGTTTTGCATTTTCTTGAAATGGTCCCAAATGCCACTTTTTTCAGTATTGGTCAAACAGTTGTTTGACAGTTAATCATACACCCCTATCATGCACAGTAGTATGAAGTGTTTAACTTTTGTGTAGGTACGGCATATACATATGAAGATCACTTAGCCTAACACTGAATGGGCAAGTCCTGGGAACCCACTGTCCTGCTCATTTTGAATCCAGAATCTGATTTGACTTGTTAAAAACTGTTAATTTCTATATTTGATTACAGAGGCCTGGAAATCTCTGACAGACAAAGTCCAAGAGGCACGCTCTAATGCTAAATTGAAAGAGCTGTCTTTTGATGGTAATAACACATGAACACAGCATGACTGTTCGAAAAACATTTCAGTTGGTAGTATTTATATAGAATATGTGTATACAAAATATTCTCTGTGTTCCTGTCCTGTGTCATTGTTCTGTCAGGAGTGAATGGGCTACGGATGCTGGGTGTTGTCCATGATGCCGTAGTTTTTCTTTTGGAGCAACTATATGGTGCCAGGTACTGCAGAAACTACAGGTTCCGCTTCCACAAGCCAGAGGAAGTGGATGAACCTCCTATTAATCCTCATGGATCTGCACGTGCTGAGGTCCACCACAGGTATGCAGTACTACAGAGAGATTCACTCGAAAGAGGCCCCGAATATTCTGTTGTAACTCCTGTTAGGATGAAGCAATCTGAACCAAAAAAAATCCGCTACATACCTTGACGTATGTGTAATTGATTGCATTACATAAGATGCTGGAAGTGATCTCCATTTTCTGCCAGGCACATAAAGGGGTACAGGGGTATGCACCCGAAAGTTGCAAACGGAGGTTAAACGTCAAGACAGCTGTTCGGCACCTACCTCGTCGCTCTGACGCAGAGGCATCCCGGCTTGTTCAAAGCTCCATATACTGAGGAGCACATTGCACATTGTTTCGTTCAGACTGCTCCATCCTAGCAAGAGTTATTACAGAATATTCGGGGCCTCTTTCGAGTGAATCTCCCTGTAGCTTCATGGCCTGTTTTTATGTGCAGTGTGTATTAATGTCATAATGGATCTTTTGTTCAAAATGCATTTTTCAAGCAGAGTTTGTTCATGCTGTTGAATATTTTTCAAGACTTTTTATTTAATGTTTTTGATTTCTGAAGGAGGTCAATGTTAGACATGTTCAACTTCCTGGCATCCAAACATCGGCAACCTCCTGAATACAACCCTCAAGAGGAGGATGAAGAAGAGATGCAGCTCAAATCTGCGCGGTGTGTCTTTGTGCTCATTTGCCTTGACTTTTTAGCTTTAGCTTTGCTTTTTATTATTTTGCAGTCCTTAACATTTCCCTTCTTACCACTACAGACGAGCGACCAGCATGGACTTACCTCTGGCTGCGAGGTTGAAAAACTTGAGGAAATCATCCAGAGAGTCTGTAGGAGTCTACAGGTATGAAACTTCTGTTGCCTCTAAAATTTTGATTGGCTCTGTAAACCAAATAAAGCACATATTTAAAGTACATATTTCATGCACATACTTGCTGTATTTTCATGAGTTTTATAATTGTTCACAGGTCAGCCATACATGGTCGAGGTCTGTTCTGTAAAAGGAACATTGATGCTGGTGAGATGGTGATCGAGTACTCTGGTAATGTCATTCGCTCTGTCCTCACTGACAAACGGGAGAAATACTATGACGGCAAGGTAAAGAAAATTATACTCTCAAACAACGCTACACATATAATATTTATGATACTACATATGTACTATAAATATAACATTTTCCTACTTTAATTAACAGCAAGTTCTTAATAAAAATTACTTTTACTTAACAGGGCATTGGCTGCTACATGTTTCGTATTGATGACTATGAGGTGGTAGATGCCACCATGCATGGCAATGCGGCGCGGTTTATCAACCACTCCTGCGAGCCTAACTGCTACTCCCGCGTGGTCAATATTGACGGCCAGAAGCACATCGTCATCTTTGCTATGCGGAAAATCTACAGGGGCGAGGAACTCACATATGATTACAAGTTCCCCATTGAGGAACCAGGCAATAAGCTGCCTTGCAACTGTGGGGCCAAAAAGTGTCGCAAGTTCCTCAATTAACAGCTCTCCTTTTATTATTTTTGCCTGAACCCTCTCCTCCCAAATGAATCTTTTGTCTAATGTTGACAGTATGTGTATTTTAACTGATATGGTTATTTATTGAAACAGGCTCAGGTTTTCAGAGGGATAATGGCACTGTGCCTCTTAAGTTGATTCAGGAAAGGTGTCAAGAGCAAAGTCACAATGAAGAAAAGGTCTGCCTTCAGTGGATATCCCCCAAATGACCAGTGAGAAATAGATAAGTGCCCCTGCTTGCGCTCAAATTTTGCATTCTGTTTTATCTTCCTAATGATTATTATGAAGAACTATTCGTTTGTAATATTGAGTCTTGCCTGCCCATGCTTATGGAATGTGAGAAGAAAAGTATGATGGAATTGCCACATTGTTTCATTTGACACCAAAGTGCAATTTCTAAGGGAACGATACACTGTCTTTTCTGATAGATGAATTGCAAGTGATCCATAATTCTCCTTTTCTTAGCCTGACCTGCACAGTTTCATCTCCCTTTCTGAATGTACATTGAAGCCTTGTCCCTCTAGTTATGTGAGGGATGTCTATGTATTTTAGACACTGTAAATATTACTTTTGAGCCCCTTGAATGATAAAGAGGGAACACTAGAGGGAGCAATGGTCCTATTGATGGACCTTCTGAAAGAGCTTTTTCAGAGGTTTTGGTTTGGATCAATGATGAGCAGGACTGTAAGTGTAGTGTACCTAAACTGTGTTTAAGAAGTAATAATAACCCCTGGGGCAGTGATCACTGGGGGCTGGCTGGGTTGAGATCCTGGTGGACTGACAGCCAAGGGACTAGAGAAATTTGAGGGGTGGGTGGGATGGCTTAATATTTTTATCCATTTTTATAGTGACTTAGACTGACAGTAGTAAAATCAAGGAAACTTACTATGTGCATGCTCTAAGGATTGTTGAGAGCTAGTAGGATTTACTAAACTCAATAGCATCCAAATGCTTTATTGAGTTGGAATTTGTTATTGTTGTTATGGAAGAGTCATTTTAAAATTTTGCTCTTTTTCCTGTCTCTTTTTGTTGTAGACAGGTAAATGTCATTATTTCGTTTGATATGTAAATAATATGTATATTTTTCTATACAAAAAACTGAAAAGCACTCACTAGTGAATAGCACTTAATGATGGTATTTATATTTTTAAGAAAACATTGTATTTATTTTACCAACATTTTGTAGGAGATAGTGGTTTACAACACTAAGGCTTGGTCATCATTTTTATAGTGCTGCCTTTTCTTTTTTTCCTTTTTTTTGTAGACCTTATTTCTTTCTCTTATCCTCATTCTCTTTATTTTATTATTCCAAAGACTGAAGCAGTAGCTGTTCCCATAGAGTGCAGTCCACCAGTAGCTCTCATTGCCAATCCATGTCAGTCATGGACATTTCAGATGACAGTGTGTATATAGTCAGAGTAAGCTGTAAAACATGTAGTCATGAATGCTCATCTGCTGAAATGGCATGTCTCCCCCATTGCCAGCCTTAATATCACATACAGGAACACCCCACCTTCCCCCAAAAAGCCCCTCTTTGGTAGTAAAGTGCAACTGTCTCAAGGGGATAAAAATGAATATAAAAAAGATGCCTGAAATAATTTTACATTTAAGCAACTGGAAAGTCCCAAAGTTTACTCCATCTATTTTATTATTGTAAAAATATTTTCATAGATATCAGTTTAACCCAAGGAATTTGCCACGGAGGCTAGCCCTTGAAAACTTTCTTCTAAAGCACTATATCTGGAGGAATGGAGGAAGGCCCTCATTCTCCCTATCTTGTGCACTGAACATCAGTCTTCTTCCCAGCTTGACACATGTTGCCTTGGCACTGCACGGACGTTCCAGCTAGCCATTCAAAGCACACGATGTGCTCATTTGTACCGTTTCCTTTCGACAGTTTTAGTCCTCCGGATTATCCCTTAGGGCAAAATTTAAATTGATTTCCTATTGAATATATATATATATATATATATATATATATATATATATATATATGGCAGCAACACTTCATAGTAGTTACATATATGACCTCCCATGGTTGGCTGTCCTGTAGTTCTTTATAACAGAGGTGTGGTGCCTTCTTTTTCAATTATTTTCTTTTTTTCATAGTTTTATTCATTGTGTCATCACTGATACAGACCATAAGACACTTGCTTTGGGAGCATAGCCAGTTCTGTGGCCTTTTTAGGATGGAGTCATAGCTACTCTGGAGAATAACGCAAGAGTTTTAATGCATGTCCTTAATTCTGAAGGTCTTAATACTGGTTAGACTTTTGTCCCCACTGTGTTTGATTTGAATTGGTCTCTTAATGAAGCAATTTCAAAAGTTGTATTAAAGGGATATTGAGCATATCGGTGTTGCAGGAAGGCTAGGGATGCGTATATACCTCCAGACAAAGCTCTCTCGATTTGCTGCTTTGTGCACCTCTGGCTCTTGTTTTCAGAATGAGCCAATAAAAGGCCAGTTTCTCTGTGTAGCATTGTCTTATTGCCTCATAATTTTAACTCTAATATCTTTTAAGGCAGTTGCAGACTCCCAAAGGCCTGACCCCTATCAGACTCAGCATGTCACCTGTGACAAAGGCACTGACCATACAGAGAGAAATCTCTGTTTTGCTTTACATCATTACCAACTGGCTACTGTTTTTTTCCAGATATGATTTTGTACGTTAATGGGTTTGACGGAATTGCCGCAGCTTCTTGCCGGGAGCTTCTTGCCAGGCTCCTCGGCAGTGTGGGTCTTGCCATCGATTCAGGGATAGAGTACCTCTCAGTCCGGCTCTCTGGGTGCGGCACAGGGTCGGGCTGAACTCTGCAGCTAGGCCTTCGTTGAATGTATTTTTGAATTTATAATTGATTTTTATCATATATTGTCTTTTTTTCGATTGTTCCAACGTGAAAGGCTGGGACGTTACAGGACAGCTTTATGTTTAATTTCATTGGGCGAGGATTGTACAGCAATGGCAATCTTTGTACAAAAAACTTGCATTCTATCAGTCTGACAAAATAAGATTTTAGTAATTCAGTTACTAAACCTAAGGGCTTTGTTAAAGACTTTCCTCCACATGTTCATGTCAGTGCAACTTCAGATTCTCCACAAACTGGTGAAATGTAGTGTTCAGTCGGTGTTTCAGAAGCAGACGGGTTCCGTTGTTTCCTGGACTTTACTCTTCCACGCCACACCAGTGGTACCACACCTTATCCTGTTATGCTCAGTATATATATGTATACTTCTTACATACATGATGAATATATATACCTAAACATATGTATGGATAGTAACTTGTACTTCAGTATCTACAATATCTACACAATATACGGAATGGACAGACAAACTTAGTTACAGTAGCAAACAACAGTTTCATAATGGTTAATAGCAATGTTCAATGTAATCTATAATGGTTTTGTGTTACAGATACAGTTTAGAGTAATGTGCAACAGCATTTTAAATATTGACATTATGTACCAGTTTTCCTGTGCCTGTGTGCTCTTTCTGTGGAGCATTGCAGTTAAGATTGATTCTTTTTGGGACTTTTATTTTGTGATTGCGGGGGGGGGGATGTGGGGGGGTGGTTGGGCAGGTGGGAGGTGATATTTATATAATGAAACGAGTCATTGTAAAATGTGGTTGTAAACTTTTTGAGGTTAGCCATTTGTTTGTTTCAATGCTGTAGTTTTTATTTTACTCTTTGTACATTTTTAACAGAGTTTGTGGACGTCAGGAAAACAGAAATTGACCTTTCATTTACCCGATTGTGTTTTCCCATACCTCTTTCTCCTGTCTGAACTTAAGTTGAATTTTAATGTGATGTTCTGTAATGAGTAACAATAATGGTAAGCATTTTATTTATTTATTTTGTGCAACGTTTTGAAACATCTATCTGTGTATGCAGGTAAAAGGGTCACGTGAGCTCCCCCTGACAAAAAGGTGGCAGTGCGCCTCTGTCTATAATTGTATGCTAGGACCCTCTGTACCGAACTGTATTATCAGTAGTAGAGATGGGCTGTGCTTTGTGTGGTCAGACATTGAGCTGAAGGGAGAGAGGTTGAGTTTTCCCCCCTTCTGAGGCCTTGTGTTTCCCTTTTGACATATGAACGCTTCCTCTTTCTCCTTAGCTCTCTGAGTGACCCATGTTTGTTATTGCTGACTATTTTACTTTGTTATCCAATTGCCCAATCAGTGTTCTCCCATATCACAGAAATGAAGGAAAGACCATTCAGTGACAATAGTAAACCACAAACTACTTAAGGATGAATGTATAATGAGAAAAAAAATGTACATAACTGTAAAAAGGAAATTTCTAATCATGTTTATTTTCTATGCACTTTTTTTATTTAAGTGATAGTTTAAATAATAAACATGTCTCGTTTACTCAGCAAGGCTTCAAGCAGTATTGTTTGGCTTCATACTGTTATTTGGTGATTCATGCCTTTTGCTTTTCCAGGTATCCAGGATATTCTCCAAATGAGTTTGCAAGTTCATATTGTTTCAAGACAAGTTTCTAAACAAAAAACATTAAGTTTCATTATCCTGCCTATCAAAAGACGGGTTTTTCTTTGTCTTCCAACAGCAAGTCAAAGGTATAATACCTATTTCCAGACCTTTTAGAGCTTCTGAGCCAACAGGAAGCCCCTGCCACCTTTGTTGGAGTACTGAGCCATAATGCTATTTAACAAGCAGGGGGCTGTTGCATTGCTACCCCTTGCAGGTAGGCATGCCTCATAAAACCACAGCAGTAAGGGAAACAGTCAGTGTAAAGAGACCCAGGTGTGGAAATGAGGGGCTGCCACACAAGGCCTGGTCAGAAGCCCTCTTCCACGTATGTGTTAGCTGACCCCTGTGGATTACACTGCTTTTTTTATAACTGTGATTAGATTAAATTAGGGGAGATATTACAATGCACAATTACTGTAATTGCAACACTTTAAAGGGCTCATTAGTATTGTCTATTCACTTCACTGGACCAAAATAATACCCTAGGAATACGTCTCAAAACATTCAGTTGATTATAAAACATTTTTGGCAGCTTATAAAGGTATGGGAAGATAAAAGATTAGAGGCCTGGTCTTGCTTTGTGTACACACAAGACTTGCACTGTGTATTTTCATGCTCTGCATTGTGTAAAGATAGGAGTGTTTGAGCAACCAAATGCAGCTCCACAGATATTAAGATGGTGGGATTTTGTTAGAAAGTTTGTCAAATCTGAGCCTATTTAAAGAGCCCATTTCCTATTTTTTATGTATTTCATTTATACCTCTAAGGTCTGCATATGTTTGTGCAGGTTTATATACCAAAAACAGCCTGATTGGCTGTTCTGATTGGCTGCCCTGTTTTGCACCTCATTCAAAAAGCAGACCAGGCTGAAACACTTAAAACATATTTAAATGTGCTGGTTTTATGACATCATGAAAACATTGACTATAAAACAGGTTATTTTTGCAGCTGTTTCCATGTATAGATTGTATGGACTGGAGACTAAATGGTACTTGTTTACTTCAAAATAAACAAGGAATATCAAGGAAAAGCATGATATGGACTCTAAACTTACCTCAGCCATTTGGTAATTTGGTGACTCCTTTATAAAGAACCCACATAGATCACATCACACTTGTCGCTGCTGCCATATTGTTGACATAGCACTGGTCACTGCAACGACGACAGCAGCACACCTAGAGCCGCAGTTTGTTCAGTCAGTAAAGCGTCCTGACATAGAATATACACACTTTTAAAAGACGGTTCTTCAAGGCAGTGGTTCTATATAGAACCATTTCATGCTTCAGTGGTTCTTCAGATCGATGGAGAATGTTTTGTATATGGTTCTACACTCTTAAAGATTACGGTTCTTCAAAGGTTCTCTAGTAAAAAAAAAGTGGTTCTATATTGAACTATGAACACTTAAAGAGCCATTTGCATGATTAAAGGGATCTTTGCATGGTGAAATTGTTATTGAATTGACAGAGTATGTTCTGTAGATGGTTCTACATAGAACCTTTTTGAAAAGGGTTCTATTGTTACAATGTCACGCCTGTAACAATAAACGAACCCTTTTTGGTGCTATATAGAGCCCTTTTAAAATATATATAGAACCACATAAAACGCACTCTCCATCAATCTGAAGAACCTTTTAATCATGCAAAGCGTTCTTTCAGTGTTCAAAGTTCTGTATTACCATTTTATTTACTAAAGAACCCTTAAAAACATAATTTTTTGTAGTGTAGAATTATATAAACACACTGTCAATCATGAAAAGCCTTTAATCATGCAAAGGGTCTTTGAGTGTTTACGGTTCTATATTACCATTTTCTTAACTAAGGAACCCTTTTTCTTCAATAGTTAAAAGTCTGACATCGTAACAATAACAAACGCAGGATCCCGCGCGCACAATCACTCACATTTAAAATTCAAAATTCAAAGGAAAACTCAGCGGATCAGCGACCCAACCGTCACTTACGGATTTAACGGATCCTTAACCGTAACTCAGGTGAGACAGCCGAGCCAACTTAGTTAACGCTAACAAGCTTTCCTAGCACAGTTCTCTGATGAGGAAACTTAGGTTAACGCTGGTAACGTTAGTTATCTTTAATAGTGGGGAACGGAAGGCATAACCTAACACAATTATTATTATTATTTTTGTTAATAAAATGTAAAGTATTTGATCAAAATGAATTATTTTATTCTAGCTAGCAAACGACACTTTTCGGCTACAAAAGGAAACGTGCTTTGTTTCGAGCACCTATCGTTCGTCACATTCTACATGAACCTGTTAACCTAGCCAACGTTACATAAAATATCCGTGTTAGCTAACTACATTTTACCCTGTGTTAGGTCGCGCCCCATACTGTCCTATGTGGGACGCACTGGTGTTATAGCCAGTAAACTCAAAGTGTGGACAGGCATTGGATTAAGTTACCTTCCTTATCTTTGCTCGGTAACGTTAGCTAGCTAGCTAACTTCGCCACCCTCCCCAGACCGAGTGTGCTAGTGTTACGGGTCTGTTTTAGTACTGATGCTGCCTTCAGGTCCCCCTCGGAAGTTCCTACTTACGACTTCGGAGGTCCGACTTGATTTGTGTTCAAGTGGTTTTGGTTGGAAATAGGTGGAAATAATGTTTTTGGTTTACTTTTATTTTTCTGTTATTAAAGAGAGTCTGTATATATATACACACACACACACACATCATATCTGTATTTCCATGTGTGGATGGTTTCAGTCTGCAGTGTTAATTTGACACACCCCAAACTCCAGAGTTTCCCACTAGTAAATATGACATTGTGGTGCCGTTCATGTGCATCCATCTCGTAAATACGATATTTCCGACACGATTGAAGGCAGCATGAGTGTGATAAATCCTGATTCCAGATCAACGCTTACTGCTTTTCGTAGTGTTCAGTGTTTTGCTGTGTAATCGTTGCCGTTGTCACAGATTTACGAGCTGTGGTTTCAAACAATAAAGTGTTTAATGTCAAGTAAAATGCCTTGTTCGGTCCCACAAGGGACATAAAATATCTGGCGCTGGTGCTTTGGGCTCATGGCAGAGTTAATGAATATTATTTTTTGCTAGGAAACCACTTTAGGCTGAGGCCCTTAGTCTTACATAAAACCAATAAAATTGCAATGTTAAGCTGAGTACTCGCTATTATTGCTTCTTTGAAGTGCATGAAAATGCAAAGGAGTTTCCTTTTGCACTGCAGAGTTTTGTTTGTCCTTGTTCTAACATATGCCTCAGCTCAAGAAGGGATTGGTGATTAGACAACTAATGACATGAAAATTGGCTAAATATCTTAGGATATGTAAACAAAACTGTGAAATGTAAGGGGTTTCCGGGACTCAGGCTGGGAAACACTGCAGTATTCAGATGCAGATATTCTCCATGCAAGTGTTGACCTGACCTAATCCTTTCTTGCTCCAGTGTATGTCTTTTTGTGTTCTTGTTCCCACCACTTCTCAAAACAAAGTGATGCCTGTGGGCCACAACCATACTTTTTTACTGAGAGTGGTTGGATGGGTTGTTGTGATTGGCTGATGGAGGCAGCACAGTGTGTGCACCTCTACCAACCACATCCTACCCCTGGCAAACCAACATGGGAGCAGGGGTTTAATTCAGATACTGCAAAGCTCTGGAGCTATCAAATGATCTTCATCGTCATGTCTGCTTCTGCCACCAAGAAATAAAATTCTGCGTCAAATTGCCCAAATATCTGTTATTATCCAGTTTGTGGCCTCAGTTTCTGTATTACCTCGGCTTACAGCTGTAGAAGAGAACAGAACTGGAGATTAGTTTAAGCAGCTGAGAAATGGTCTGGTGGAATATTTTCATCCAGAGTGCTTTGATGCTTGTCTATCCATTACTATGTGTTAAAGACTAGACAAGTAACTTTTTCCTCAATAGACAGGTCCAACATTTTTCAAACATGAAATAAAAGCTACTTGTGTCTGCACATTTTGTACACATTGCTCAGTTTATACATTTAATTTGCTACATGACAACAGCTGTAGTTTGAGTTTAATGTGAGTAAAGCGTTTGACCTTTGTGCACAGTGAGAATTAAATCTGTGGAATGACTAAGTTTCCTGTCAAATTGAGTGACAGTATAGCTGGCTGTTGCATCTCATGCACTTGTGTTTTCTTTTCCAGAAGGTGTTTACTCCATTTTTGTACCTTTGTGGCATCCTACCAAGCCTGCATTATCCTGAATGATCCCAGAGCTGTGGACTGTTATCACTAGCAAACTTCCAAGATGCCGTTGTATCCCTACCACTTTGTACTCCTTTATCCTTCAGATAGAAGACTAGTTTTCAAAGGTAATGGGCTTTAATGTAAAGTTTTCTTTTTTAGTAAGAATGTATATAATTTCTTATTTTAATGGACACGAGGCTCATTATAAAATATACCTGCCTGTAAGGCTGCAAGACACCACCTTTTCTGCTGTCAGTGCACATTATGGCAGAAGGCTTGTCTGTGAGTATTGTGCTATTTTATTCACTGCTTGTATTTTCTAGTCATGTGTTTATGTTTGAAGCTCTGAATCTGTTTTCATTTTCCATGAAATTAACTTTCAGAGTCTTGTGGTACAGTAGTGTTCCTGAATAGTGAAAGCTAAAACTCAGAGGTTCCTTTTGAGTGTGGCTGTAAGCCAGCAGACTAAGGCTTTCTTCTCTGCTTTAACAACAGCATGCTGAGGTTGACTTAAAAGACTTAAAAGAGTGCAGAGATTGCACACATTGCACTTTGAATTTGTTCCAGGTCCCCCTCAGGGACGCTGGTTTCACTGACCCTTTTGTGTTTACCATGTTTAACCAATAATCATAATCGCCTCATTTCAAGCAAACATTTTTGTTTTGTTTTTAAAAATATATTTTCCAGACAAGAAAAATCTATGAGGACGTTAGGCTTCAGATGTCATGTTGTTTGGCAATTTAAGTTAGTTATAGTGGAGCTAGAAGAAACCAGCACAGTCTGAAATCTCCACATAATGATTCACAGCAGATGAAAAACTAATTTTGTTCAAATCAGAGCAGTGTTTTTATTACAGATATGTCCTCTATTTAAGCTAGATGTTGGTTTGTCATTGAAAAGGTAGAGCGATTATATTTCCAGACTGACCACAGATTTTCTGATTCATATGTGGTTTTATTTCTAGTGAAATCCCCTCCTTAATCAAATGGAGCCAGCAGCCCATCACTGTAGACCTCAGACTAATTACTTACACATTTTGGAGTTCACCAGACTGTTCTGATCCACATCTACTTTATCGCGCAATGTTTAGAAAGATCATTGTTCTTTTTTCCACCATTCCCTTGGATTCGCTTCAAACATTTTGTCTCTAGCCCTTGGACGCTCCCTCTCTCTCTTGCTCTTTCCCTCCGTGACTCCCACCCACCCTCTCTCTCTTTCTCCCTCTCTTTCTCTTTTTCTCTCTCCCTCTCTCTCTCTCTCGCTCTCTCTCTCTCCCTCTCTCACTCTCTCTGTCTCTCTCTAATTGGCTTCTATTGCCATTTCCTCTCAAGCCTCAGAGTGCTCACTTTTTCCCAGACTCCCTGCTCTAGGACGGAAAAGAGGAGTCTGTCTCTGTTGTTTTCACTTTTCCCTGTTCAGACACTATCACTCCTGTGAAGCTCTGAATAACTAAATGGTAAGTTTAGCCAACTTATATTGATTGTTGTATTTGATAGTAGCTCAGCCTTGAGGAGGGAGGAGGTCAGTTCTATATGCACTTGCTGTTTTTCTTTGTGGGCCAGGTGTTAGGTTAACCTTAACATTACTGTAGAAGGCACCATTTTAGGATGATTGGGAATGTGCAGCTGTATCTGATTAAGGGGAATTGCATGAAAGCTCTAAACAGTGCATAGAAAGTTCAGTGCTTTTTCAGTACTGCAGTGGGATAAATAGTTAAATACTCTAGATTTCAGTATTTTCTTTTTCCAGTTCTTTATTTAACACTACATTGCTGTAAGCAGATCAAACTGCACAAGGGAATACCTATTAGCATACATAAATCATACAGGTGATGTATGTAACCTTAAAACAATCAACAAGTTATAATATGTTTGTCTGACCTTGTCTGACTGTTAATCTTTCCAACAGAACATGTCAACAAAAGGCTTTGTTTACATTATCAAGTTAAAGATTCGATTTGTTTAACATTTGAAGAATTTTGTATTGATACATGTGTTTATGTAGTTAGCAATGGAATGAAGCACTGTGATACTACATTTGCTTTTACTATAGAAGTCAAATGTCCAGTGTCATCAAAAGCCTGTCTTAGACTTTGATGATTTGACAGGGCAACAGCTGGACACAGTACCTGAACTCACTATGATCCTGGCTGTCAGCTGTTCCACAGAAGATGTAACATTTCTTTACCTTATGAGTTGTTTGTACAAAAGTTTGTACAACTTTTCTAAGATTCATTGTGCTTTTTCACATTGTCAAAAAAAGAAAAGCAGGCCTGTCTGAATGGTCCTCCATACCCCTTTATTAACTCTTGCAGATCTTGTGAAGCAAACCTAGCAGTCAGTGCAGGCATTTAATGCAGGAACAGAAATATGGCTTCATGTGGTTAAAGTGAAGCCAGACATTAGAAGATAAAACAGACGAAACTGAGATATGCAGGTATGAGGTTTGTTTGCAGAAAGGCTCTGGAATGATGGTGTTTGCACGAGTGCTCTTCCTGTTCTGTTTTGACATGGCTTAAGAAAGAGCTCAACCCAAGACACACAAACACCGGCCCTAGAGTTAACGCTAGCTTTTGTTGAAGCCTGAGATCTAGAGACAGATGTGCTGTCTGTCTCGCTCTTAAATTAAAGATATTTGTGCCTGTACAGTCCTGGCTGCTTTCTGCAGGCTTTTGATGACACTGCAGCATTCTTTGGTGGTCTGTTTGTGTTGTGTCAAAGTGAGTCATCAGCGGTTTTTTAACTCTTATTTAAACCAGCTGTTTGAAAAGTAGCAGACGAGCAGAGAAACCCACTGATTTACGGTCAGGCGTAAAGTCTCAGAAACGTCTGGCCTCGGGCAGCATCATGAAAACCCACCAATCACTGAACACTTCTTACTTTCGCTGACGATGCATTCTCAGTGCCTGACTGGACGGCTACTACAAACATGTGCTCTTCACAGTGTCAGAGTTAAAGGGGAATTCCACTGAATTTCCAAAATTGCTGCATACTTAAATGGTTAAGATGTAAACCGAGGCATTCAGAGTAGTTTGCTGTGAAAAGCTCTGTTTTAGAGAAACTTACTGAAGCAGTGTTGTTCACTGTCGTGGTGATACAAACCAGATGTCTGAAGAGATTAATGCCGCTAACAGCTCCCCAACCGAAAGTTATGACATGAAATGCATATGCGGCATGTTGCCTGAGACATTGTTTTATTGTTTTGAAATATGATTTTGGCATAAAAGGTATTTTTTAAAATCCATTCATGGAGAAGAGGTACATGCAGGTTGTTATAAGGCAAAATAGTCCCAAGAAAACTTATTTACCTCCATTTCTCAATTATCAACACTACATATAAAAAGTCAGAAGTAGGTTCACTGATCATTTTGGACAGTAAATAAAATTGATATGTTTGCACTGTAGACATTGCAGCCTCTGTAATTTTCCTTCCAATAAACAATTTCACATCAAACCACCCAGTGTAAGCACTGCAGTCAATGGAGAAACACTTGCCTCTGGCAAAAAGTAGCGTGCTTCTTCATTTTTCCCTGCTTATGTGAGGCTTCACCCTTTTGGAGAATCAATCAGAAGCTAATGGACTGTTAAAATACACTGAGCTCTTTTTATTTATTTATTTTTTATGCACTTTCTGTGGTTATACTTTCACAGCTAATCTCATGCTTTAGTCATTACAGGGAATTATTGAATTTCCTGTTGTGCTCACTCTAACGAGTTAGAACTGGCAGTTCACTTCTCAATGGCATGCTTTTCACATCACCTGTGAAACACACAGCAGTGTTATTTTCACACCTACCTAACATTAAGTCCATTTTACCCAAACCAACCAATATAAGATTGATGTGCAAAAGCAGTTTAACTTATGCTTTGTCAGTTGGTCTCTCTCAACAGACTCAAAGCAATGACCCCTCTCCAGTCTTGGCCTCTTGTCCTCTTCCTTGTTTTGCTGGTCCATTATTCAAATCCACTCGACGATAACAAGATTCCCAGTCTGTGTACGGGCAGCCCGGGTATCCCAGGTTCCCCGGGGTTGCACGGCAACCCAGGCCAGCCTGGCAGAGATGGAAGAGATGGACGAGATGCACAACCAGGAGAGAAAGGGGAGAGGGGAGACAGAGGAGAGCCAGGTATGCACATATTTGCCCCATGCAAGCCATGGTGGTTTTTGATTCGTTGAATGATTCTACACACTTGATTCACATGTTAAAAACTCCACATCATGGAAAACCAATATGCCATTTCTTTTTTAAACAAGTTGGGTGGATATGAAGATGTTTGGTCTGTCACAGCTATTACATAATTGCCTGATTGCAGTTATTTTCCACAAGTGTTTATCAGATCAGATCATTTGATTATTCAGAAACAGTTGGGTCGATGCAAATACATGTAAATAAAAGAAAGCAGAAAACAGTTTTATTGAGACACATTATGGGTCTTACGAAAACAACAAAAGCTTCTGACTGGTGCTGTTTTTGAGCTCGAGCTGTGTATCTTGTCAGTTTGGAGCTATGCAGAATCAACAGTTAGGAAGCAAGATAGCTAATCAGCCATATTTTAATAGTTGATCATACAGAAAAAGACAATTACATTGTTTTTCGCAATTATTTATGTGGCAGTAAATTATCAGCTCATATTTCATGACCGTGATAGACCTAGTAGACATTGAACGTTTCCAAACATTCACTTCACAGTCCATACAGTTCATAAATGCCTGTTAAGATGCAAAATTTTAAGCACAGTGCAGGGCAGCCAATCAGAAAAGAAGTCATGAACATTTTGTTGATGTCTGAACAAAGCCTTCTGATTCCATTTTGGTATTTTTCAACTTTTTTTTTACATAATTATATTGTGTGAATATTTTATGATGAATGGACTGACAGAAGTGGCCCAAAATTAGTTGTACTAAAATCGTATTGTATTAACTTACTTCTCCTGCAAAGCTACCATTTTAGAGATACAAGGGTTTGTTTAGACAGCGGCAATATTTTAAAGGCACAGCAACAAAAATAGCCTGGTTATTTCTAAGGGATAAATAGAGGTCTACAAATAGTCATGTAAAAATGAATTACAGCTGTTTTTGCTACATAAAGCCACACAAATGTTAATGGGGTCCAGAGAGAAAATGCCTATAAAGCCACACAAATGGGGCCACAAAGAAAATGCATGAAAAATGTAAAATATGGGCCCTTCAAAACCAACACATTTTGGGATACTTTTTAACACAATCATTGTTATTAACACAAGCAGTGGGTTCCTAATTACAGACTCTGGGTTAGAGGTACGCTGTGTTCTTGTGGTCTGGCACAATATGTGCTGAAACAGCGATGGCACAAAAAATGTGTTGTTCATTATCATACACGTTTTGAGTGATATTTATGATATGCTAACTCATCAGAAAAGGCTGAGGCTGTTCTCTTCCTGGTTCTGCTAATATTTTGCAGGTCAGCCAGGCATAAGGGGCTTGAGCGGGGACAGAGGTGATCCAGGAGAGAAGGGTGAGAAGGGGTCACCCGGAGAGTGTGCTGTAGCCCCCAAATCAGCATTTAGCGCCAAGCTATCCGAGGCCCGCACCGCACCCTTAGTAGTAGGGGATGCTGTGCGTTTTGACAAGATTGTCCTGAATGAGCAGGGGGATTACAACGCTGAGACAGGACGCTTCACTTGCAGGGTGCCGGGCGTTTACTACTTCGCTGTCCATGCTACTGTGTATCGCTCTAGCCTGCAGTTCGATCTGATGAAGAACGGACACACAGTTGCTTCCTACTTCCAGATTTTTGGAAACTGGTCCAAGCCAGCCTCACTGTCTGGCGGCACCCTGCTGCACCTCATTCCTGGGGATCAGGTGTGGGTGCAGATGGCTCTGGGCGAGTACACCGGCTTCTACTCCAGCCCCAAGACGGACAGCACCTTCACTGGCTTCTTAGTGTACTCAGACTGGAAAAACTCTGCTGTTTTTGCCTAGATTGCCAAGCTACATGCGACTTAACACAGCGCTAATGCACACCAACTAACAAAAACATACTGAGGGCAGAAACGTTCACCACATTTTCTCTTTTACTGATGTATTGCAGTCTCACAGTTACGGACAAAGGCCCATGTCGATCAGTGTTCGGCCTACAGGAATCCTTTTAATGTCTTTTGCACATGGATGCTCAGCAGCACTAGAACATTTTGTCACTGTCAGTAATGATAACAGACCAGCAGCTTTTGCATTACGTACCCCACAGTAAAAAACATATGAGGAGGAATATAAAGATTTTTACATTTTGGTACAGATATGGGTCCATTATTCTGTTACAACTTACAACTTGGAAACAGCAATATTAGAGCACTTTTGAATGATCACATTAATAAAAGTATGACGATACCTCTGTTGAACATATTGTGTTATTGGTGAGAAATGAACTGAGTTTTAGTTTTTTGCTCAGAAATCACTTGTGGAATTCAATATTTCATCCTATATATATATATATATATATATATATATATATATATATATATATATATATATATATATAGGATGAAATATATATATATATATATATATATATATATATATAAGGAACATGCTGCCACTTTAAAGGTGGTTGCATATTGTTCTTGTTGTGAGCCCAAACCATGATTATGCAATGGAGACCAATTTATGCCAAGTCACAGACATCCCCTGGCCTAATGGTTTCACCGTATTCAAAAGGTCATTATTAAAGCACATTTACAGATTCCAATCTGTAACATTACTACTTAAACTCCTCAGCCAGGACACCTGGTATACGGTTCGCTCTCTATTTCTCTCTCTCTCTCTCTCTCTCTCTCCATCTTTTGCACATGTGCTCACTCTGTCCTCCTGACACTCTCTCACACATTGTCTGTCTCTTTGTTTCTGTTTATTATTATGTGACCCCAAATCTCCTTCTCCTCCCCTGCCCTCATCTTTCTCTCTCTTTCTTTTTATCTTTCTTTGTCTCTTTCTGTTTACACTGAGACAAGCGAATCCAATTTTCCCCTGGTTGCTGGCAAGGGCACGTACGGAATGTTGTTCTTGACACATTTAACTATTTAACTGCTGAAAAGATGCGAGGAATGAGGGAGCCTCGCCCGTCCCCTTGAGCCGCTCACTCTTTTCCATGAGGTCATGGCCGCTGAATGCTCCCACCCTGGGAGAATATGGCTCATCAGCTACAGCAGACATAACAGGCTCCAGGGCGTCTGAGAGCACACTCTGTAACTCATATACTCAACACCAGCTTCCTGATCTGTCCATCTGTCTGTCCATTATTCCTCTCAGAAACATCAGATGAAAGACGGAATTACAAGAAGTATATTTCTCAAGTATATTAATATTGAAGATCATAAGTGTGATTTTAATATGATTGTTGATGTTGGAACGTTGATCAATCAGTCTGATACAAGCCTGATATTTTTTCTGGACTTTTTGTCTCCCTCCATCACAAATATTTTCAAACAGATTCTCACAACCTAGTAATATATTCTTTGTTCATAATTGTAAAGTCTTGAAAAGGTGGTCTAACATAAACCTTTAGATGCTAGTGGGGCCCATAAGATTCTAGTGACACAACTGCTACTGCCCCACAGGAAGAAATACACTACACATTTTACAACCCAGAATTCTTAACCTTGATTGGTGAGGAGAATGTTTGCAATCAAGTGGTAATGATACCACATCAAGTACAGGTTTAATTATTTAAAAACAAGACAAACTTTTGTAAAATAGCTAATAATCGTCCACAGAGTTCAATTCTTTTATAAGGATAGAGGTGGGTAGAGTAGCCTAAACCCATACTCAGGTAAAAGTATTGTTACTTCAGTGAAATAACGACTGTAGTAGAAGTAAAAGTACCTTTCCAGAAAATCACTTGGGCAGAAGTACAAAAGTAGCAGCTCAAAAAACTACTTAAGTACCGAGTACATTTTTAGAACTGCAGTGGAACTTAGTGCATCCAGCATCTGTCAGCACAGGAACTGAAGGCACTTTTTTGTGATCCTTTTGGTCCTCAGAAATATGCTTGAGTACGCATATGTAAATGTTATCACATAGAGCTACTCAAAGAAGTACAAATCTAAACTTTATAAACAAAAGAATTGGGACACCAACACATTACACCTACAGGAGCGTTTATGGCATCTCATTCTAAATCCATAAACATTAATATGGAGTTGGCCCCCCTTTGCAGCTATAACAGCTTCCACTCTTCTGTGAAGATTCTAGAGTGTTTCTGTGGGAGTTTTTGCCCATTCGTTCAGAAGAGCATTTGTGAGGTCAGACACTGATGTTGGACAAGAGCCTGGCTCTCAATCTCTGTTCTAGTTCATTCCAAAGGTGATGGATGGGGTTGAGGTCAGGGCTCTGTGTGGGCCAGTCAAGTTCTTCCACACCAAACTCACCCAACCATGCCTTTATGGACTTTGCTTGGTGCACTGGGGCTCAGTCATGCTGGAACAGAAAAAGGACCTTCCCCAAACTGTTCCCACAAAGTTGGAAGCATACAATTGTTCAAAATGTTTTGGTCTGCTGAAGCAGTAAAATTTCCCTTTACTGGAACTAAGTGTCCAAGGCCAACCCCTGAAAAACAACCCCATAGCATTATCCCTCCTCCACCAAACTTTACAGTTGGCACAATGCAGTCAGGCAGGTAATGTTCTTTGGGCATTCACTGAACCCAGTCTCGTCCATCAGATTGCCAGATAGAGAAGCGTGATTCATCACTCCACAGAATATGTTTCCACTGCTTTAGTCCAGTGGTGGCGTGCTTTCCACCATTCCATCTGATGCTTAGCATTGTGCTTGGCAAAATAAGGTTTGCATGCAGCTGCTCGGCCATGGAAACCCATGCCATGAAACTTCCAGTGCACAGTTTTTGTGCTGAAGTTAATGCCGGAGGAGGTTTGGAGCTCTGCAGTTATTGACTCAGCAGAGTGTTGGCAACTTTTATGCACCATGCGCCTCAGCACTCAGTGACCCCGCTCTATAATTTTACATGGTCTGCCACTATGTGGCTGAGTTGCTGTGGTTCCTAAACACTTCCACTTTTCAATAAAACCACACACAGTTGATCATAGAATTTGGCAAACTGACTTGTTGCATCGGTGGCATCCTATTACAGTACCACACTCGATTTCTGTGAGATTTTTAAAATGACCTGTTCCTTCACAAATGTTTGTAAAGGCAGACTGCATGGCTAGGTCCTTTGGCAATGGAACTTAATGAAACACCTGAATTCAATTGTCCCAATACTTTTGTATTCTACCCACAGAGGTGTGAGTGGGGCATGTACACTAAATATTAAAGAAAGAAGGTTTGGTTGAGGTTTGGTATTGGAAAATAACCAGAGATGTCTGCAAAAGAACACCATTATGCACAGCAATAAAACAGACTGAGTAACTGTTTACCCTTTCTGAAACTGACTTAGTTTTATATGAATGCTTGAGAGACTGCGTTGCCTGTAAATGGCGTAATCTCAGATGGAGCCGGATTGTGTTTGCTTGGGGACCTCCCTAAACAGTATGTGGGCGTGAATAACAAGGAGTTTGCCATTGTTCCCCTAGAGCACAAACATTCTTTTTAATGGCAAAATAAACTCATACTTTGTTTGCTTATGCAGCAGCACTGAGGCCAAGGCCAAACATGGAGATGTCTGCAGTGTAAAACAGACAAGGCTTTGCAGCGTAATCTTACTGCCCTCCCGTTTCATAACTTGTTCCACAGGGATGTACAGAGCCACATTTTCATCTCCACTCCCAAAGAAGACGAAGTCCACTGATGACCTTTTCCTAAATGAAGAATTGAAAGGTCACTGTAATTTGACTTGATCAAGTATTACATTAGGTTTTATTATATGTACACAGGCAGTAGTTTGCATAATAGCCTACATATTGTGCTGTGATACTCTAGTTAAATACCAGCAGGGGGCATCATTTAATCACTCAAACACTGTCCTCAAAGAAGACCAAGCAGAATAATAGTTTTGTTTTAGTGATAAAACAGAGCTGAAGCCTGTACATGGTCTTATTTTCATTCATTCACTGTAATACAAACAGAACTAATTGGATTTTCTTTCTCACACTGTACTGAATTACATTGTTGTCTATCTCTAAGGTCCTGAAAGCCTCTAAGGAATAGGCTAACGTCTATCTGCTGCACAGTTATAAAGAAAGCCAATGGATATTCGCTTCAACACCTGCCCATTGATTGATGGAAATGTGTCAAAATTATAGTCTGTGGTAATCCTAGGTAGAAAAAAACATGTGCTGACACAAAGAAACATTCAGGAGATTCTTTTGCCTGCCATCCAGCTTTAGAAAAGGAAAAAAAACAAGGCCCAGTCATTCTTAAGGGAAATGGTGTTTATTGAAGCTTTACTTATAATTGTATTATTTGTAGTATAGAGTGAGGAACTTCATAGAAGCCCTAATGATTTCTGTGAAATTAAAAAAATACATGTCTGTAATTTTATTTATTTAATCGAATCGTCATGCTTTTGTATTTTAAAAAGTATTGTAGTCAATTGCTTATTTCACTGTTAAGTTTTAGTTGGAAACATGTTACATTCTCGGAACGCCTAATGGAAAACTGTCCAATCTGGATTTTTTCCCTCTCATGGTAGCCAAGCTAGTGCTCCCATTGGTTAGGACTTTAGGAGCTGAACTAGATAATCAAGAAGTGACAGTGGAATCAACCAATCAGATTTTGATTTCCAAAGGGTGGAACCAATTTTGTGAGAAAAAAAATGTCTCTCTAGGCCTACCTTGACAAGTCACTGACTGTGAATACGAGTGGTAGCCTAACCTGGGCCATGTTCAGTCTCAAAATGTGCACAGTTTTGCTACAGTTTCCAGGTTAAATGATACTTAGTTCTAATGGTTCAAAACGGTGTGCAACGGGCTTTGAGATACATTTTCTCTCGCTTGATGGTTGTGTTAGAGGTGTTAGCCAGCTTGGTGTACGCAATAACTGAAGACGTTAGAAGGCGTGTTTGTCATTTTAAACCCATTTCATCAGGCTCTGGAAAGTCTTCAAAAAGGATGCCAGGAATGGCTGCCATGGCTGCATCACTTGTATAACACAAAAGAGTGTTCAACACACCACCGTTTCCGTTTAAATAAACGTGCTATGCTTTGTCAGGATGAAGACAGCCCAAGACAGTCAAATCATTACCAGAGCTCTTTGCTGAGTCACAGTGAAACTGCTACTTGATTGTCTGTTACAGGTTCAAATAAAATATATAGAATGTATTTTACAAGCTTTGAATGCTCAAGTTGAATCTAGAACAGCCAAAGTTTTGTTTGAATTGCAGTTAGTTTAGCGCTAGCAGAAATCACCATTGTTGTAGAAGGTTTTTTCCCGTTTTTGACTGACATTTGACTTTTCTGGCCCAAACCAAAGGCCTAGCACTACTAGTCACTATTCACCACTGCTTGTACGTCTGTTCAGAATGCCTGTTTTATATAATGTTTCTAAATTCCACACACCTTATCGGGACGTCTCCTCACTCCAAGGACACGTTTGGAGCCGAATGCTCCTCAACATTCCATTACTGTTATTTTAATAGACAATATAACTCAGTCATCTGAAGATAAAACATGTGGTTACAAGTCCAGTTCAGATATGCAATATTCCTGCACATGGTGGATATTTAGTGGATTGCCTTTTACAATCATCTCATAATCGTTCAAACAGCGAACAGCGAGTGATATTTTAGTGCTTTTAGCGCTTTACTTCTGATGTTGCGCAGGACAAACAGCTTTCTAATTAAAACAGGTATTAAAAGGGAATAATAATTAAACATATTAATTAAAGGGACAGTCTGGCCAAAATGAAAAATTAAACCATGAACATGTGAACATGCTTACTCGCCTGCTACAGCAGTGCTGCAGTAGTCTTTAGAGTGAGATTTTATGGTTTGAAGACTAAAACCCCTTCTGATTATGTATCTTGAAGGTGGAGAAACTTAAAAATTAAACGCTGGCTAACATTTCTGCTATCTCATCTGCATTTATTAGTCTGTACATCAGTAGCTACACTAGCAGTACTAGCAGTCAGGGTTTCTTTACTGCTGTGGTGGGTGCATTGCATTGTATAATGCATGCTGGGTATTGTAGTGAGCCTAAATGCTAGTTTAGGTCGGAATGCCCCTTTAAGTCTTTATTTAGCTAATAGATCACTTAGATATTGATTTTTTTGGTCAAATCTTAACTGCAAATTGAAATGTTGTAATGCCTGTGGAAGAATGTATAAAGAATCACTTTAAAGCTCCTCTCAGATCTGTCTTAAACCTCCACTAAGGCTGAAAATTCAAACATATTGCTTCATTTACACCACCTAAAAAAGATAATAAAAATATTCTAATGAATACAAAGTTTATACATTAAATCTAGAGTTTATGTCTTTTCAATCTTCTAAAAATGAGCTCCTGCTGTGGGTCCACAGAGAGGAGACTATCTGCCTTTGCTTATGGATTCAACCCAGGACTAAAATTTATTACGAACAGATAAACCATTTAGCATGGCGATATGGATTTCATGAGTCATACAGAACAGTAGTTATAAATATCCATTTAATCCACATAATTGTAATGGGTGTGTAGGGAAAATCTTATTATGTAGCATTGACTGGAAGATCCTCATCTCATTCTTACAGTCCTCCCATGACACACAGGAAGCCTTTCCTCTCTCAGCCTCAAGATGTTTTTCTTCCTGACTTAAGACAGTTACTATTAACCAATTGTTTCCAATGATTCGCTTCCACTGCAGGTGCAAAACGGTAAGACTCTGTGAATCTCACAATACGGGTAGACTTTACATCTGTTGATCTTTAAGCCGCATTCGTTTATGAAAATAATGACGTTAGAAATATTAATACAAAAAGAGAAATGCTTGTCTATTTGACACAATATTTGCTGCAATATTTTAATGACTGGCAAACTGTTTCATTTCACATTAACGCTTTAGAACTTAACCAGTAAGCTCTTTAGTAATTTTATAATGAGGAGCTGTCCACAGTGCTGAACGGGCCTTTTGTATTCACTAATTTGGTCATGTCTCGCTTATTATTTGCAGGTAATGCTAGTAAAAGAACTACTGACATGTTAACAGAAGGACAGCAATGCAAAGCTAGACTGACTCAGCTGTATCACCAGATCCGGGTTTTGGAAAAGCATGCACACATCTCTCTGAGGACTATTCAGCTCCTGAAGGAAGTAGCTTCCGTTCCACCCCCCTGATCATCTGCTCCCACACCCACACTCAGCTGCTACTGAAGACAGGATATTACATGTAGGTCAAATGTTCGGCTCATATTCAGACAGACTACTGTTGAAAGGTATATGCAGGTTTCATTCCTAAATGCCTTAAAAAACAGTTTCTCAAATTGTCTTTTTTCAAGATTAATATCACCTTTATTACAGTGATAATCATATAATTATAATTTTTTGTTTTTTGTTACAAATAAATATGTAGCAATTTAGAATGAAAGTGTTCATATATATATATATATATATATATATATATATATATATATATATATATATATGAAGTTTATTATTTATAAACATTTACTATTTTCTACCATGTCATAACTTTATAATACTCTAAATTTTAAATAAATAAATCAGTTTACGTTTTGGTCCCTGGTTTATAAAATTCAAATCTACACTGTGTAAGTTATTACTGAATAACTTATCCCAAACATTTGAACAGTAGTGAACATACATAGTGTGACAATTCTACTCCCAAGAAATTCTGGATCGTTCCTATTGGTCCAGTCATCATGTTTACACAATGAAAATGGCAGCTAGCATTTTCAAACTGTGTGAAACATTTAAACTGAAAAAGGGGAAAAAAAACTTTTCTTACAACAGTAACAATGTAAATACCATAGTGGTAAATGAGACTTTGAGCTAACGCTGGGCAATATAAGAATATTTATTATTATTGTGATAATATGCTTGTCTGAGCAGATCGTGGAGATCAACAATACTTCATACACTTTCCAAATGTTTGATCAAAAAGAGAGCATAATTAGCCTCTTTTTACTGGATTTAATGCAGCACAGTGAAAATAAATATAATTATTATATTTATAGTTTTGATAGTATTTTTAAATGTGGCACTACTTTGTATCAGATGTCAGGAAGAATAAATACTGTGACATATCGTGGATTGAGATATTACATCTTTGCCATATTGCCCATCTCTCCTTTGAGCTATTATTATGTATCAGACACAGTCTGAGCCCAAAGTAATTACATTCAGGCAGCCACATTTGTGCTTTTATTGGGTTTCCTACTGAGCACTGAAACTGCATTCTCTGCTAGGCTGGGCTGTTATATAGATAATAATAACAAAAACCACAAGCATCCATCAATACCATCCTTAGACAACCTGCATTAACAGCTGGAAAAAAAGATGAAATCTGGGAAAATACTACAACTAAAACAATCGGAACAACATTACCTTATGGCAGAAGATTTAATTGTCTGTTAACAGCATTTGGCAAATTTTAAAATGGAATACAGTGAATAACATTCAGGTTTTGGCTAAAGATTGTGATTTTATTTCCCTGATAATGTGACACATTGTCTTTTGTAGTAAAATCAACAGCTGAAACAAATGTAAACTGCACCACTTAAAGACAGAACAGGATTGTGTCATTGGTGTCGTCATTAATTTGGCACTGATTTGAAAAAGCATTCATTTGGCCCATTGTGTAATTATGAATGCTAGATTTTGATTAAACAATAGTTGAACAGTTCACAGTCAACACTGTGATAGTGAATATACAGTCGTACGCAAAGGTTTGGACAACCCTGGTCAAATTACATGTTCTGTTGTTTTTCTATGTGAAAATAAGTTATACATTCTCTACACAGAGCACACTTCTACACATTTTAATGAAAAATTACTGTTTATTTACTGAACTGCTTGTGCAAAAGTTATATATTTCATTTTTTCCAGTATGTTAAACTCAGTAAATAAGCAGATATTGTGCATTTGCTAATACACACCATATTTAAGCTTCTTCCTTGTAGAGAATTTGTTTATTTTCTTATTTTCCCTTAGAAAATCAACAAAACATGTAATTAAGACAGGGGTTTTCAAAGCTTTACATACAACTGTAATTAGATCTAGTCCTCCTGCTCTAATATAGTGTTTTAAATGATCTGAAAAAAGACATCACATAAAAAAGTAAAACATCTTTGTGAGCGCATCCTAAAAGGTTTTCCTATGGTGCCACCTGGGTTTCAGAATACCTTTTTCCCATTGCTCAATTAAATTAGGAGACAGTGCAGACATCACATTGTAAAAATGTGAACCAGAGGCCTAATGTTTAGATTTCAAGGAGCACAGATCAATACCTTTTATGTTAGGACACAAACACTAGAGAGGGCCATTACAGAACATCATTGTTCGGCCTAAAGCAGATTAACAATACCAGCTATGAGACCCTAAAATCTAGAAATAGGACCGTATGTGCATATCTGATGGAAAGAATTAAGGCCAGCAAAGCGAAACACCACCAACACTAAGAACAAATCGATAAAACATTGCAACAAAATGTTCCCATTAAACCTTTAAGGAATTTGTTGGGCAATTTTTTATCTTTCACATAGTAAGGCTAGAGTATTGCATCACACACAAATATGTGCCCAATAATGGCTCACTGCTAGGCCGCCCTATAGTGCATACTACGTTTTGGATTGCAATGAAAGCATGTATCTTTGCAGTTATTACTCCATGTAAAGCTTACATTCATGTCAACACTGCGGTATAAAAGATTTAGTGTAATTCAATACAAAAGCTCAATTATAATACAAAATACACATATGAAAAGATACTGTAGTAGCAAGCCTTGACTTAACAAGCTGAGAACAGCTCTTAGGAATATAAAAGGACATGGCCACATGTATTTACAACTGACAGTAGCAAAAGACTCAGCACAGTGGAATGGACAAAACATTTACAGGGAATCTGCAACCCACACAGCCTTATTGGCTGAGAGGCGACACAGCTCATGATAAGAAACAGTCGTGTTTCATTAAACCTGAGATTCACAGAATTAATCAATCCATCCATCCTTGCAGATGTTTACAGAGTCTCTCAGAGATACACATCCATGGTTTGCAGGATCATGTGGCGGCACAGCGGGCAGTTGTGCTGATAGATGGGTTGGCGCAGCAAGATGTTGGTACAGTCTCGACATAAACACAAGTGACGGCAGGGCAGAAGCACCACAGTCTTGGTGCTGTCCTGGCAGATCACGCACTTCTTCCTCTCTTCCTGCTCCTGGAGGAGAGTCAGAAGATCAGGGTTGCTTTTGGAGCCTTCCTCTGATCGCATCTTCTGCAGCGGTCTCTGAGTGCTGGAGCCTGGGAGTGGGGGATCGGGTGCTAGCGGCAGTGCCTGGGGTTGGTGTATGGGATCATCAACATCTCCCACTTCTCCTTGTCCAGCCACGGCATCCCGAGCAGCTTCTTGCTCAGCGTTGATTTGCGGAGCATCTCCATCTCCAGTCGCCAGAGCTTCCCTCCCTTCGCCTGATGTCCAAAGGCCAAGGCGGCTGCGGGGCCAGGAAAACCTCTGCCACAAGTTCCTCTCCAGCAGGTAGAGGCGCTGTAGGGTTCTCTGGAGCCGCTGCAGGGTGGGCACCGTGTTGACGTAGTCGATTATTCGCTGAAGCCCTCGCTGAAACAGTGCAGGGTTCAGGTAGACAGTGGCACTTGCGATTATGACCAGTGTGAGCAAGAGCCCATATGAGTTGAGCAAGAAGACGCTGATGAAGATGTGTCCTAGAGAGCCTAGGAACTCCATGGCCAGTCTGCATGGTGTCCAGAGTAGAATGGAGGTGCCCACTATTGTACTGTAGAAGAAGGTGAGGACAGTCAGAGTCAGCTCAAGAGCTTTCTGTAAAGGGCTAGACACAGCCTCCACCATGCTGACCATTAGGCCATACAGGTTCTGAGTGCCTATGAGCAGAAGGTTGATGATGGTGTTGATGAAGTACAGCAGCAGGCTAAACACAATGCTGCAGCCCTCGCAGGCCTGCCGCAGCAAACCGTGTCCCGACAAAAGTCCACGGTGCAGGAGCTCTTTTGTGCGCAGCAGTAAATGCGAGGACAGGTACCCCACCATCTTGAAGCTTTCAAGCACGCCACCAAGCAGCTGCATCCAGCCCCCGATCATGTTGTGGGTCACGACGGTCACCCCATCCATCATGGTGATGAGGCAGAACAGAGTGAGATTCATGCACTCCACCACAGAATTAGTGAGCAGCATGGGTAGACTGCCAATGAGGGAGATTACAGCCACCAACAACCGAACTAGTGAGTTGACAATCACGAAATTTAAGTCTAGAAGGAGGCAAATGATGTCAATGCACTTTCCAATTGAGGTGAAGACAAAGTGCAGCAAACCCATATTAAGGATCTCCTCACTGATACTTTTAAGTCAGTTTATGTCTGTAGACAGCTGTCAGTCATTTGTGGTCCCAGTTTTAGGTTATGTAGCTTTAGAAGACTCTAATTATGTGAACAACACCAGTACACTTGCTCCTAAACATGACCAGGTACTGAACAACTAGCAGCAGTTAGCTAGGTTAGCATGCTAGCTAGTTAGCGTAACATGGCCAGCTGTGGCCAATGAACTCTGCGTGCTTTCAAGAAGTAGCTTAGCTTACAGTTTACATCCTCAGTCCTTGGACTGTCAGGTGCTGGTGGTGAATTACAGCTTCCTTAACTGTTCATGCTGCATACAAATGAGTGAATGTGGTAGGAAAAGTAAGCGGCTCTGAGAGAAGCTCCTTATCGCTCCTCCTCGGCGGATGTTTATGTTTGAACGGCTCGGTCAGCGAGCGAGGTTAACGTACAACAGTCCCCGCGGGCTGGCTCTGAAGGCACTACACACACAGCAGGAAAACCCCACGAACGTCCACCGGCCAAACAAAGCGTCGAAAAGACGACAGCCGAGTCTAACCGCTGCCATTACTCCCTTACTTTTTAAGCTGTGATTTGTTTCATACCACAGAACGCCATGTCGTTTTCAAGCCTTACAGCGGATCAATGCCGCGCAGAAACTGCGCAGACGTCCAGGTAAACAAAGCGCGGGATTGTGGGTAATCTCTGTAAAACGAATCAGGCTGACGTCACACCAAAAAAGACCAGGTTCAAGTTTAAGTAAAAATAAAAAAGGATAAAAATATTTTTACTTAAACTTGAACCTGGTCTTTTTTGGTGTGATGTCAGCCTGATTTTCTGTTTGTGTGTGTGTGTGTGTGTGTGTCTGTCTGTCTGTCTGTGTGTGTGTATGTGTGTGTGTGTGTTTTGTGACTAAGCGTCTCTGGACTGTGTTTAAGGCCTACCTCATATTTAAACAGGAAGTCCTGAGCACCGGTGCCTTAAGACTTAATAGTATTAAAAAGGTAAATAATGAATAAGAATATATGTTGTTTTTTTAGTTTATTGAATTTCTAAGTTTGCAGTTAATAGTGAAGTTTTTGAGAAGAATATATTTAATAGTTTTTTGTATGGTTAGATCTTTTGATTAGATTTTTAGGAAATTGTGGCAGATCAAGCTGATAAACAGCAAAGAAATGTTTTCATGTCCTTTTTGCCCATTTATTGTAAAGGATGCCAAAAATTCTGGGGGCACTTTTTTTTTTTCAACAATGGGACAGTGTTACTTTCAGAAAAATCACTTTCACTTGAATAGCACTTGTGAACAACATTACAAATTATGTTTTGCACTTTTTCCCCCGTAAAATGTTTACATGATACACATTTTCATTTTGCATTTCATTTGTGTTTTTTATGTGTGTAATTTCATGGTGTAATGGGTTGAATAGACGTCTCTGTAATCACATTTGATGACTGCAGATCTACTTTAGATCAAAGGCTGAAAGATGTGAAAGTGTGAGGTTTTAGTTCATAACATCCAATAGGATCCCATATTATTCATATTATGTGACATGTTTACTTGTGAACAGGTTTTTAGGCACTTCACATGCAGTCATATGTTAAATGTTTGTGACTTTTCTGTAAAGGCTGTTTTACCAGTTTTGAAGATGAAAATGTGGTGATGAAAAATATGACAGTCACATTTAGACAACACAACAGATTTACTGAATGCTGTGCAGTGAAAAAGGATTTACAGTAACTCAGAGGGAAGAGTGATTTGACTTTTAATCAAAACCAGCAGCTCTGTGAGATTTTAACAATTTTTTTACATTATATATTCATTACATTATAGTCTCAAACCACATCCACTCACTTTGATTTTGGGATGTTTTAGTTATTATTCTACATTTACCATTCTTTTCATTTATTCTATTATCAGCTTTTACTTTTTCATTGTAGTTTAGTTGTTGTTGTCCGTTTTTTATTTGTTTTTATTTTATTTTATTTATAACAATTGTATTATTTTATTCCTAATTGATTTGCCGTTTCTTATGCTATTGTTGTTGTGTTATTTTAGCTTTACATTTTTATTAGTTTACTTTTATTTGATTATTTCTTTACTCTTAAAATTTACTGTAATTATTGTTTGCTTGAATTATTTTTAGTATTTGATATGTTTTTACAATCTATTTTTTTCTTCTTTCACTACTCCCATTTCTTCAATTCCTCTTTTCTGTATAGGCTTGGCTACAGTGTAAATGAGGGTCGCCCTCAACTTACTCCGAGTTAAGATTGATTTATTGATTGACTGAATTTCCTTTTGTCTCTACTTTTATTCTTTCTCATTCCAAGTATCTAGAACACATGCTGGGAAGAAACATTGTCTGGAAACAGGAATCAGTTTTGTGAGAATTTCTGCTGCTCTGTGCAGATCTAACGGACCTCACTTACTGTTCACATTTGTTCTGCAGAATCTTGTTTCTGTCATGTTTAGAGTTTTTGAACGATCACAAATCTTCCCCATATTAGTGGCTCCCAACTCTGATCCTGTAGAAGCCCTGGCCTTTTGGTGTTTTTCCTGTTTTAACACAACTAATCAGCTAAATAACAAACCCTTCCTGAGTTGAAGCGGGTGTGTTACAGTAGGGAAAAAGGGAAAACATTGGGAAATGAGCAGGGCAGGGTCTCTCCAGCACTCCGGTTTGGGAATCACTGCTTTAGAAGCTTCTCTCTAATGAGATTCTTCTCCAAACCATTTGATCTTTCTTTAGAATTAAACCTTGTACCAAAATATCAACCACAAGCCAACAAATGAACACAATACCAGTTACACACTGCAGATAAATATAGAGGACTAGCCAGTGGTTCTTCACTGTAGTGTTTTTTCTGCTTCCGACACACCTGGTTGAGCTCAGGAAGGGCTTTTTCATTAGTTCATTTGTTGCATCAGATGTGTTAGGAGCAGCTCTGAGACGTGCAGGGCAGTGGTGCTCCAAGATCAGGATTAATAACCACTGGTCTATGAACATCAGGGGTCACCATTATGTGTACAGATGTCTTAGGAATCTATTAAAATTGTTAAGTTTCATAAAAGTACTTAAGTGTTATGAAACACTAGAATGTACAAAGTGGGTCAAATTGACCTCAGGGTGTGATTTTCCTGAATATTTTATCAATATTAATATTTAATTGCTTGATGTTCCATGTATAACTCAAACAAGAAAAATGGCTCACAAACGTCATTTCCATATTTCTTGGTCACAGGTCATTTTTTATCACTATCCAAATCTTCATAAAAGGGGTCAAAATGACTCCTGTGCATTCCTATGGAATTTTGACCACCGTGGTCTTTTAATACATTTTGTCAGTAAGAATATTTACTTATTTGACATTCTGTGAGTAACAGCGTGCTGTTAATACGAGGACTGGGTCAATCTAAATCTATTATCTGTAGTCTAGGTCCTTTAAGGAGACTGACTGATTTAAATCAACCCGACTGACACTGAAAATATCCTGTCCATTTTAGGGATGACAAAAGACAACAATTATAAATAATTTGATGTGTGTGTATTTGATAGTATGTGTTTATCTTTCTATGCTATTAACTGTCCCTAATCCTGGAGATGGCGGGTATCAGAGAGCTGAAGAGGCGCTATTGCGATGAATTGATGATGCAGAGATGATGACCATGTCATAGTATGTCAGTGAGGGTCGTGGGGCAGTCCAGCTCAAATGTAGTTCAATGCTAATAATTAAAAAAAAACATATACATTAAATACATACACATTAAAATTATATGCACATTAAATCACGGAATACTGACTGAAAATGTCCTTGACTGTTGTGCGAAATTGTCACAAAAAAACATCTAATATCAATGTCTACATCAAATGCTACACAAAGCAGGCCTGGATCATCAAATGGGTCTTTGGATGTGGATGGGTGTCCAGGGGTCCAAGCCACGAGGGGGCCCCATAGGCAAATATGAGAAAATTATGATTAATGGTGGGAACTCTACTTGGCACCATGGGAAACATGAGCTAATGTGTCATTGTGTTACAGACGTTCATAATCCTGACACACACTGCACACTCAAAGTCTTTCCTGAACATCTGCTTCATTTTCTCCTCCAGTCACTGCTTAGCAGCTGTTCCACTATCTGCCATCACTTCGGTGACAGAAACAGGTATACTAAATTAGCTAGCTAGCAAACTACTAGAGCTAAAACGTGGCTAGCTAGCAAATTTTAGTGAGTTAGCTTTCTAAGCTATATATAGCTAGCTAGCATTTTTTTCCATTACAATTCATTAATTTACTTTTAATTTCTGTTTCATTCCAAAAGATTCATTTTAATTTTCAATAACTGTCAATATTGACATTTAGATACTGCTTTACTCGTCTCACCTAAGATACAGAATGCATATGTCACACACTATTCTAAAGTAAAGGTTCCTTTACATTATATGGAGGTTCTTTACACTTACATCTCATTTTGAAAATGTTTTTCAAAGAACCATCCACTGAAAGGTTTTTAGGAAACCAAAAGAGGTTCTTCTATAAGGTTGCTCCAAAGAACTCCTTCTGAAAGTTTTTGAGGAGGGTAGCATAAATGTAAACATTAGCAATGTCTTCTTAACTGGCTTATGACACCTTCGCAAACACAGAAATACATCTAAAAATAGCCATTGTCACATTAAAATACCATTCTAGTGTAACGGTGTGACTTTATCTTCACCTGACAGAGTGAATTTGCTGAATTGTCATTGGCTTAGCTGTAAGTGTTACCAAACACAGGAGAACACCCTTGTGTACCATTAGGTTCTGTTGGTACCGATCTTAATCAAGTACCAAACACCATAAAGCTGGATTCTTCACTGCTGGACTGACGGCCAATGCAGAAGCACATTTACAGTTTACGGGTGCCAAAGGATCCAGTACTAAAAGTTAGCAGTGGAAAAAAAACACCCTTGGAGAGAAACACAGGCAAATTAGCAACAAGAAAAATGCGCACTTATGGAGCATTAGGCAAATGTTAATCTTCACCAGTGGATTGTTTTGTTTGGTCTTTTGTAGCACAGTTACAAAGGATTATTCAGACCCAGTGATATTATCTCGTGCTCTCTCACACACACACTCCAAATCTGACAGGACGGAACACAATTGTTTCCATGTTTGACGTTTTTCAGAGCTGACAGGGCATGCAATCTTTAACCTTGGTCTAAAGCCAAACACAAACTCTCAGCTCTGAGGCTCTTGGGACAATAAATAAACTCCACTGATCTGAGATTTTCACTGTTAAACAAAGTCTGAGAGACCAGATCTCTGCTCTCAATCAGACAAAGCCACTGTGTGTGTGCGTATATCTGTGTGAATCTGTGTGTGTATGTTTGCACCCTCATAAACCCTTAAAACCTGTTACCGGTTACAATAAAACATTGTACATTTTATTCTTAAAGGAATAGTTAACTGAAAAAATCTAATTTACACAGTTTCCCAAAACATTTTTGGTGTCCAAAGTTTGCTTCTAGAGCTACAAGGCTAACAATTAATAGATGTGCCACCCAAAAACTTGGTCCATTTGGTTACATAAATAGTATATGCTAGTTCAGCCCAGGCCTTCAATATATGACTGAAACATAGGAAGTCTGAGAACTGGAGTTCTGGGGGGCTTCTGCTTGAGCTACGAAGAAGGACCCC